TAACTTACTTTCGATGAGATATTGGAGTACATGTATACTGCTCACCCCTTAAAAAGGAATTGGAGTATGTGAAGTATCGTATGTGGATAGTACCATTCTTCGTCGATATTGACCAGACCTCCCATTGTTCAGCTGTCTTGCATCTGGCTTTCAACCTCACCGCCTGTCTCTCCTAGGCGACCGGGAAGTACTGTCACTGTACTTTTACTTCAATACGACTGCCTAGGATGCTGATGACTTCCTGATTTGGGCCAAGATGTTATCTGATTCCCTCTAGAAAGCCACTCACTTACTCACTTACTCGCTATCTCTCTCTCTGTCTCTCTCTAGCTCTGTCTCTCTCTGTCTCTCTCTCTCATCTGTTCACTATGTGTGCTGATGTCCTCATTAGCACCATTGTTCTTTACCAGCTAGCATCACCAGCTGGATGCTGTATCCAGTATGCAGCATCTGTGCCTTGATCCTTGACGCAGACCAGTAGCTAGGATTGCGGACAAGCCAGTCGGCTGGTTTCTGGTTCACCCAGTACGATCGATCTCACCAAAGCCGGTAAATGTATTGGAAAAACACTATTACATGTATCGCCAAACCACTCGCCCGCTCTGTTGTCGCCTTGCAGTTGATGACTTCTCCGCCTCCTTAGGCACATTATAATTATGACCGCAATCAACTACCCGGATGGACGAATTGTTTTTGAACCATTTAGAGCGGGTCCGACTTTCGTATGGTTTCCATGTTGCCCAGAAGCCTCTAAGTGCTTGCTCTAGCTGTCGTCGAGGTCATAGGACACGTACTTATAGGAGTAAACTACAGACCTGAGTTGAGGATATAAGGTGATCCGTTGGTTGTGGCAGAGGTTTGTATGGCAAGTTCATTAGGGGGAGTGAGCCCGGACAGACCTCAACACCTCACCCCAGTCACACGCCCGTAGAACATTCTTGCAAGGCTACAGGCGACTTACGTTGTGTACGGCAAGACTTGAAGATCCTACCAAGGACACTACTGGAGGAAGGCGAATGCAAAATTGTTTGAAACACTTTCAAGATCTCACGAAAAAGATTACTGTTTGGAGTTATTCGACAGTCATCTTGGCAAACTCGCGTGAAAACCCCAGTTCTTTGCAAGGTTGCTGCCTTAGTAAAATTTCCTGGTCACATGGTGCACGTGACCAAATGTGTATGCATGGCTCGATGTTTTAACTTCACCAACCATGTGTTAAATTCACTCCGAAGGCTATGTCCTGTTCTTTTCACCGCACGACCAGTTTCGAGCGCAGTCTCGTAATCGCTAGACTAAATCTGCCATCTTGAGAAGTCAACAGCCTGATTATATCTTTCGCCAATTGAATTGGTTAGTTTCACCACTCGCATGTACATGTACATGTACCTCGAAGTATGTTTTTGAAGGTATTCGATTGTGAGGGTTACTCTTTATATAATAGATTTTAGACGCGATGATTTTAATAGTAACACTGTTCTAACCAGGAAGTAGTGAAATATCGGTATTTTACTACCCCCTGGTGCATAATGGATGGCACTTTACACCACGACGGCTGCTGCAGTGCTGGTTCCTCGCCACGAATGCTGGTTTTATCCGTGTTGTCACCGATGTGTACATGTATTTCCCATGCATCTCGCCACTCTTACCGTTCCTGTGTGACGTTCACAATGTTTCCTTCAGACACTAAGTTTTCCCTGGTGTGCTTTATCACCCTGGACCCCCCCCCCCCGCCTCCCCGTAGGCGCAAATCACACCAGCGTTTCAGAGCCGGCCACATTTTCCCTTCACATTTGCGCAAGACAGCTTCAGTTGATCTCTGAACGTTCCTGCAGTAGCTGTATCTTGCTTTGAGCGTTTGGCTTCAGGCCTTGCGTTGCTTTATAGCCGCTTCGAGGATGGACTAGCATTGCAGCTACGCGTATGTACTTTTGTCTACCGTTTTAGGCCTTTGACGCTCAGTGCATGTCTAGTTTGACGGCGTGAGGCGTGGCCCGGTTACGAGGTCGAGGAAAAATGCGAACGAATGGTCAGTTGTGAACAAACATTCCTGTTCATGTCGTGAACAGCTGGAAAAGCGGGTCACGAGGGACGTAGAAATGGAGTTTGAAGGTAAGACTGCATTGTGGTGTAGACCGCCTACTGAGAGTTGTGCACTCTTGCGTCTACTGAAGTACGCACGCAGCGAAATTCCCATGTCGCATCCGGTCACGAACATTGTTATGGCTACCAGTGATGGTACTTTGCAAACCTGGTGATCGAACAATCTTGTTTTGTCCCATATTGTGTCCAGCTTTCCAGATTCTACAAGCTACAGCCAACAGGAAACAAAACAATAGTACCATCCGCCCTCAAGTCCTGCAGGGCAGTTCTTCATAGTCGCGCCATTAGTCATGTACTATGTAGTTGTGTTACGTCCAGCCACCGTTGCCACAATTCCCATGGCACCATAGATTTTTTTCAAGTCTTTGGTTCCCCTCGGATGGCAAGGACGACATTCTGAATGGCTTCCCTGCACATTCCCAGACAATGGCATGATGATCTGTTCGTAGAGCATTCGGATACGGCAAGATTCTCATAGAGGAGAGGAGGAAAACAAGGCAAGGGATAGGGCAGCTGGGAGTGTATTTAAGATTTCACTGTGAAAACTACCATGCCCACTACCAACCACCTTGAAGTTGAAGGACAAACATTGTGCATGACTTTTGTAGAGTTTCGGTGACACACACGCCCGCACCGGGAAGACATTGGTAGGCATACCGGTAGTACTGCGTGCTGCGTGTACCCGAGAGTGCTACGAAATCAGGAACAATGGCGTCTTGAGAGGCACTTGGAAGTGACCAAACATTCCCCCGAACAGTCTGTGAGAGTTTTCCAATTCGATCTGCTGTCTAAGACACGGTGAAGTACTACTGAAGTACTGTTACTTGTGTGAGTCTTTCTACTCGTCTCCGGCACGTGACGAGGTGCTCTCCGAAGATCAGCTGCTACGTGTATACTGGTACTTTTTAAATTAATTTTAAAAGATGTTTAGCGTGTTCAAAGTGTTCAAAGTGTGGCCGACACCGGTTTAAACGGTCACCAACTCATCGCAGTCCCCAGAAATATCTCTTGCTACCTTGTCACGGGGCTGTACCAGGTGTTGAGGTGCCATGTCGGTGGTAGCATGGCTGGTAGATTGTTGGACGGTTCTGTCGCTAGCCAACTGCAACTGGCCCAAACACCAACATCTAAGTGGTGGGTGTCGACTGCATGCGTACATTCGGATCCGCACTGCAAGCATAGCTATCACATTTTATGGGATAACTGGGGTTGCAGCATGACCATCACGTGCTGGACCAGCCTAAGAGCCACAGAGAGATGAGGATTTGAAAATGATGCGTAGAAAACATTCCGGGAGATCACGTGTTGTGGATGGTGTTGGGAAAATCAGTAAGTGTTCAGCTTGAGAGGTGGTGTGGGGCGCTTCCCTAATCTGTGGACTGGTAGGGCTGTTACTCAACTGAGTATTAGTTGTGATCTGCCACTCCACAATATACTTTTTAGACTATACATGTAGTTCTATAATATAATCAGTCGTGATCTGCTGTGTGAAGCTACGGATGTATCAATTTTCATCATTGCGGTTTCTTGACAACACTGGTTGTGTGCAGGGAGTAGTACAATACGTATTGTACTACTCCCTGGTTGTGTGTACCAGTGGGAGAGTAGCGGTAGACGGCGTACTTCGGCGGCAGTGCAGTGTCGTGTCCTGTGAAATACTAGTTAGTAGTTGTGACTTGTCGGTCCCAGTCAACCATGGTCAACACAGAGAAGACAGATTGAGTGAGTGAATGGTTTGCGTTTAATTAATTAAGACCAGCATAATAATAACGTAGGATACCAAACTCGCTGCATTGAGTAGTCCGCAATCTCTGCACAAACATGTGGAATCTCAAGAGAGGGGAGAACCCACGCCATTGCACATACACGTAGAAGGTAACTGCCTCGTAAAGAGGTGGACGTGCTTCCGCTTTCTGGATGAATCCTACCGTAGACTTTAAAATGTGCGATTGTGTGCTCACGCCACCTACCAATGTCAAGTTCTAAGTGCTGGGTATATTTCCCGGCCATACACCATTGTACACTGTCGACTGCGCTGCCGTCATTATCATCATTCATGAATCGACACTAGTTGGACACATTGTCATTGAGTGGTGGTCTCGGTAAACATGTTCTGAACTCGTGAGAAACATACACTCTACCGGGTATACTGGCCAATAATCGTATCAATAGTTTTTTAAAGCCAAAGTCATTATGTGTCTTGCCTTGGGCTGACGCACCGCTCAAACATGTTTTCCACCGTGAACCTGCAGACTCGATCAGTGACTAACGCGCCGCGACGTGCCACTCCGGACTCGACCGATAATAGCCATTGATCTACTTATCACTATATGCCCCAGCCAGTGTTTTACGGTGTAGTACACCCGGTACACGTACATGACTTGTGTAGATCTACACTACTCACTAGCACTCGATGGAGTGGGCTGTGACGATGTAAATGCACGATCTACGGGTACGGGTGGTCGACGCCCATCGATACAGTCTTGGTTTTAGTTACGGGAAAATCGGCACAGCTGGTCGTGTGGAGGCTACTGCATTGACAGTACTGCGCGAGGGGAATCCTGGTTCCCCACATGCACAACCACCCCGAGCAAGGATTCTTTCCTCCATCAATCATGTCAATCATCGAAAGCGCGTTTCTGACCCATGAATGATCGTGTGTTCTCATCGTCCGATGAAAAATTTACAATGTATATCCTGTCGTGGGGTGACGAGCCTGGACGGGTTTCAGCAATGTCGTCTACAGCTGTGGTGGGGTATAAAATGAGGCCGGTTGGTTCTAAGATACTCACACTGGTGTTCACACTAAAGACAACGACACCATTCTGGTCATTCCTCTCTGACTAGTTCGTCGAAATTACTTGCATTTTCTTGTTCGTATGTTTTGTATCGACTTCCAGAATGGATAACATTTCGAAAGGGTCCATACCGGTGGCTGCAGCGGAGGCCCGAACGTCTCATTGGTACAAATGGACGTCCGTAACTTGTTTCGCGGTGCTTATGCTGCTCACGTTTGCTATCATGCACGACCATCACGAAAAGATAGAGATGTTACAGACTCTGTGCGAAGGCAAGGATTCGGAACTGCAACAGTTGCAAACAAAACTGGAGGACGAGACTAGTACGTGGATTGTCAGTCAACGAGACTTGATGCGACGGCTAACAGAGCTGGAGAGGCAGATGCTGGCACTCGGCCACGGCTCTCGAAGTCACCAGACTCCACAACATCATTCCGCCGTGGAAGTGGAGGATGATCGTGTAAAACGGGATGTGATTCCAGCTGAATCTGAGCTAGAAAATGAACAATATCATCGATCGGTAAGTGCTGCTACATCCCATTACCATTAATTTTTTTATTTTATATCTTGCAATCGTGTAGATCTACATGACTTGGGATTGAACATGACCCTGGCCTAGGCGGGCGCGCTAGACTATCCGTAAATACGGCGTGCCATTACCCTTGGACTTGCTCGAGGCTCATCTCTCCATACTGCCGCTGCAGGCACAGACTCAGTAAATATGGTTCAGGAATACTAGTACATAAATGAAAGTGCGATTGAAAAAGGGGCAGCTCCCCCCCCCCCCCCCCCCCATGTCCTCCCTAGCCCAACGGCATGCTGTGTACCTATCAACAGACTGAGTCACTCAAACGGGGAATCCCGAAATTTGTCTCCAAGTGTGTTGACTAGGGCACGGGATACTTGCTACAGAGCTAGGTGTAGATGTACAATGTAGATGCACTCGACTCGAAGCTAGCTCAGCCAAGTGGCTGCTTCCAACATTGGAGCTTACCTTTCCTGCCGAGCCGGATGGATACTTGTTCCATAAAATTAAAGCGGGTATCCTGGTATGATGGGATGGGTATGCAAAGCAGGATAGATGTACTGGTGTACAACCATGCAGTATCACTGCATTAGGCAGCGCTGTATAGCCAGTACGCCAGTAGTATTGTAAGGTGACTGCGAGTACTGGCAGCTACAGTGCTCATTTGCGGATCAGGGGAACATCCATGAACTTGTCCACTCTTTGTGACCAAGGGTCAGTGAATCACATGGCCCGGGCGCAACAGTCAAGAATGGGGAACCTACTTGTGAGGTTGGCAAAGTTGTTGGCTGGGACTGTGTGAGTGCCATGATTGTGTCTAAGTGCCACAGCCACTGAGCCCCAATCACCAGCCTCAGCCCCAAGCTCAGCTCAGGTTGACGGCCTGAGCCCCAAGCTCAGCCTGTCAGCCTGTCAGATATTTCCCTAGAATCATTGCCCAGGGCAAAGTTGGCCCAGCAAGTGTCCTGATCTCTAGATCTACAAGTAACTGCTGCAGTTGGGTGACTAGCTCTGCTTTGCACTTTGCAAGAGCATGGACTGTTATGGCAATGATGAGTCAGCAGGGATGATCAGTAAAAGTCAGTAAATTCAGTAAACCAGTAAATTGTAACGGCATCATCAGCTGTTTTCAAGTTTTTTTTTGGGGGGGGGGGGGGGTGCTGATGATGTGAGACCGGCTTCACGAGCCTCCTTTGATAATGACACATTATCCGCATGCCTGCTTGCATGGCTGCAATGCTAGAAATGCCCACGAAATGAATGAATGGACAAATACACACATGTTCTTACACAGAACGATTCCGAAGAGCAGTGGTTCTATCTTTCATGTCCCCCAGTGTAGTGTGCATGATTCCAGCAGCTGTTGTTAATTTATCAAATTGTTTCAAGTATTCTGTTTTCAAGCATGATACGGATACATGTACCTATTGCCAAGCAAAGACTTTAACTATGCTTGCTATCTCTCTCTGTCTGTCCTGTTGTGCTTATGTTCTGATACGCTATGTACTCTATGCAGGCCCGTCAGCGAAGGCGTAAGTTCCATAGTACTGGAATTTCTCAAGTTTTTTCGGTGAACTTCTATTTTTGGTACTTTCGGTACATCTCTTTTGTACCTAAAATTTTGATTACCGCCCGAACACTGACACACATTATCCAATAGGGAACTTCTCTGTACCTAAAATTTGTGTTAACCTAGCCTGTTCTTTTGCCCTGATACCTAAAATTTGAGCACCAGACATTTATGAAATTAGAGTATGCTCTAGATGCCAACTGATCTATATTCTAACCACATCAGAAACCAACAGGTATTGATTGGGCAATTTACGTTGTTTTCGGCAATACTGCCTGAGACACGTAGTAGTTTGTGAGCCCTAAAATTTCACCCAACGTGAAATATCCTGCAAAAGCCCTAATTGGCGCTTATTTCAGACAGACGGTAATGAAAGACCGGCCCCAATTCCAGAAGATATGGTGCCCTGGTCCAAACTTGATGTGTACTACATGTATTAGTATCGGTATGCATCAATGAAGGATACAGGGGACATCAACGTCCTGTATGGTACATTGCAATCATGTTCACTGATTAGAAATACTTGCCTGTACCTTTCACAACAGACTTTTCCATGTAGGAGTTTCATTGTGATTCGTTTAAAAGGCAGCTGTGCATCTTCTGTCCAGTCAAAATTTGCACAGAAAACCGTAAAGGGGTTACAAAGTATGAATGAACTCCAAGGAGCCCTCTCATACAATACACATTAATTATCCTACCTGTACTCACTTGTGTTCGTGTTCTTCGTTGCTTCAGAGAGCAATGAGATCAAGGGCGATAAGGGTGACAAAGGTGACAAAGGTGAACTCGGACGTCGTGGAAAGAAAGGTAATTCAATTCACCAATTGCCACTGAGGAGACAAATATTTTAATACGGCTATGAATATAATAATATGCGTGGTCAATACATACATGTGCATGTACACTGTTGTGAATTCCAGCAGAAATATACATGTACAGGTCGTCCCCCGTTAATACGAGTCCGGTTAGTACATAAACCCCGTTAGTACATAAGAAATCTCAAGTCCCGGACGAAACGTGGTCACTTCTATACAAATTTTGTCGGTTAGTACATAATTCGTTAGTACATAAACCCCGTTAGTACATAACATTTCTCCGTACCTGCATGCCACCTACCTCAATAGTACATAATTTGTTGTTCTTTTGGCCTTCCAGTGGAGGCACATCGTGTTCTAGTTTCTACTTGTGGACGCAATTAGCTCAGAAATCAGAGCGCACATCACAAACCGACAAAGCTCTGTTGTTTTTTCGAGTGACTGTACAGGCGCCGCTGGGGCCCAGCGGCGGCTGGGCATGTATCATGTAAACTGTAGAATCTTCGCTGACTGTGACCGTTATAACATAATTTTTATGTTATATCGAGGGTATCAAGAATATCTCGCTCCCTAGTCATGGCAGCAAGAAACACTCAGAAAAGTTGAAAAAAGTGAAAAATTCTGGTATACAAGCAAGTTATGTACACTGTCGTTTAGTACATAAACCCCGTTAATACATAACATTTGTCAAGTCCCAGAGATTATGTATTAACGAGGGACGACCTGTACATGTATATACACACTTCAGTCATCTTTGTCTACCTCTCAGTGATTTATTATATTTGATGACTATCACAAGAGAACGTAATTGGAATCCACAACAGTCCCACCGATGAAATGTGCATACACTTATATGTGTACGAAATGACTGGGCAGTGTATAAATTGAACATTTTCCTCCGAGACAAGAAATAATGCAGTTTATAGTTATCATCCATAGTCAGTTTTCGAAAGAATAATGCTGTGTTGGAGCTGACTGTAATGTGCCAATGACTGATAGTGAGTTCCTTTCCAGAGCTCAGGACGCTTATAAAAAAACTTAAAAGTTAACCTGTCAGACACCATCAGCATTTTTTTCTTCCCTCTTCGCTACCTTGTTATTGGGAAGAAATTCCCGTTTGGATTTGAGAAGTAAAACAAGTCAAAAAATAGAGAAAAAGCATTCCGCACTCAATCACCCCTTCTTTTAGGCTGTGGTGCGCAAGCCCCTATTAACGCTGAGACTGTATGTCTGTGTTGTGGGCTTGCCTCACCAGCACAGGCTTGCTTTGCAGCCCCTACTCTCCCTGCTGTTTTGTTATTGTATATTCTGTTGTCTTCTCCCCTTCTGACGAGTAGGTTGTGCACTTAGTAAAAATATCCTCTATTTCCTGAACAGCACATACAGCTGCTTGCTCTGCACTCTTCCTAGGTTTATTTACACTCTCCAAGGTTACTGTACTTCTAGTAGACTACAGTTAACTCACTTGGGACAGTTTGCTGGGGAAAGTTAACACGCTAGAAGATAGATTGGAAGCTCATATACATGTACTTGTTACATCTATCCTGCTCTGGTAAGGTTACATAATAGTCGATAACTTTTGTACTAAATTGTGTTTTGCTCAGGTACAGCTGGCCCCAAAGGCAACACTGGATGGAAGGGACCGCAAGGTGCGTTACTAACAGATCTTCCTGAGTAATGGTTGTCTTCAAGTGTATCATTATTTCCCTACAAGGCTACAACTTGTATGCACATTGTCAGATATCCCATGTAGTGATGTATTATCACAGCTGAGCTGGACCGGAATGACTGGCAGTATCCTTACAGAGCACTTTGCACATGTACACTGATTCCTGTAGAATCTCTGTGTTCTGCTTCTAAAAACGTTTTCCATTCAACTTTTTCCATTCAACAGGCGACCAAGGATTGTCCGGCATAAAGGGAGATAAGGGTATGACTGGATGGGCCATGCCAGGTGAAAAGGGGTGCAAGGGACCACCTGGACCTCCCGGCCCATCAGCACCATGTGAGTGTGAACAAACCTGTGACTATTTACAATGCGATGTATCCTGTTTCCCATTGTGCGTGTGCGCACACGTGTATGTGTGTGTGTGTGTGCTGCTGTGTTTGTACGGGCGTGTGTAGCTGCAGCTATCATTGCTAGTATAGAGCTTACTTTATATTGAGTTGCATTGTATGGAGTGGCGACGCCAGCACTGTTATGTGCTAATGATGTACTGCAATGTGTGTGTGTGTGTTCTGCAGTTGCCGATTACTGGGGCGTGTCGACTAATGTTGACGCAGGCGTGGTAACGCTGAACAGCACTAAAAGTGAGTGTTCTAAAACCTCATAGAATATGAGTAACAGCATTTTGTCTGCCGTAATGTCGCGTAATAAAGCCAGGCTTATTCCTGTTGAAACCGATGTCAGGGCTAGGCTTCTATTCACACCAGGATGTTCTTTGTATGTCAACACTAAAACCAGGCTTATGTGGCGACAGTGAAACTTGAAAATCAGGCTTGTATTCAAAACAGGCTTCTATGTGAGATAGGCTTTAATACAAGACACTTCTATTATTGTAGCTGTGGTATGGAATGGTTGAAGTGTCCGAATGACACACCAACTGCACCCAATATCACACTCAACATCCTCTAAGGAAATGAAGCCCTTTGTTTCATCTCCTTTTCCTTAAAAAATTTGCATTCACCCACACTGCCTTAAAAAATTTTGTTCGGGAAAAGACCTGGCCGAAACGGTCAGCAGTTGCTGTGTACTAAGAGCACTCAGCAAACAGTGTGCTTAGCACACATGTGAAGCTATGGTGCTGGTGGGTTCTGTGAGGGTTTATGGCCAAGATAACTGCTGCTTGCATGTGTGCTTATTCTCAAAGGATAGGTCTGATCGTGTAGATTAAACCGGCTCCAGCGAAGAACTGACTCCTTGCCAATTTCATTTGTCCCCTCGGTATGTGCGCAGGTCAGTTTGATAGATTCACGAGCAACTACAGCAGGTTTGCTGGTGATCCAGACGGCATTGGTGTGGCTGCATTACACATCAAAGCTCCAGGTTTCTATCAAGTACAGGTCAAGGCCACCATGGTTTACAGGCACAAGGATTGTGACTCCGGCACGCTACAGTTCGTCATGTCGTCGGAAACCCTCGTGAACATCTCCATCCAGGAGGTCCGCGGCAGCGCATGCGACCATCAAGCGTCGCAGTGTTGCGACTCTCCAGGCAGCACTCTGGTAGTTAGTAGTGATCCTATTCGACTGCCGGCGCCACGCACGTCCCAATGTCAAGAACTTCGACATCAAGTGCGCTTAGATAGCTTTCACGAGCTGGGCAAGGACTCTGAGCTGATCATGTGCTCCCATACGGTTGGTGACACCGGGAGCAACTTTGTTTCCTTGTTAACGCGCAGGAGAGGCATGCAGGTTCTTTCATTCCAGTGCCTTCAAACCCACTACGTGAGAAACTAATTCCCTGGGAATCTGAGAGTCTAAGCGACATAATTTCTTAGGAATCCCAATTTCACATGGCAGTGGCTAAGTGACAAATTATGTGTAGAAGGCAAGGATTGGGAACTGCAACAGTTGTAAAAATACCAATATCAAAGCTAATTTTTCAAGACCATGATCGAATAGATAATTTTCCTCTTGCCTGCAAGCAAATGTTTTCTTGCGAAGAAATTTTCCTGTGCTAATAATTTGAGAACACTAAATTACTGAAATTCTACTTACTGAAAGCCTGCTATATTTATATATCTTCTTTTTCTTTTGAATATAGAATTCTAATTGATCTCTGAGCAAGTTTGACCTCTTACTTGAGCAATGTATATAATTCTCTATTCATTTCCGGTCACATGTATTCCATTCATGCTAGTAGGTAGGCACTCCTTTTGGCTGTGCATTATGACTGTTCATTATATTTTCACAGCTATGAGATATGAAGTATATAGTTTAGATGCCTTCTCAATATGAGCAGACTTCACTGTATAGCAATCCTTTACCTCTATATCCTCACAGCAATCTTCTTTCTAATGGTATCCGCGCTACACCAATCAACGAGAGAAAATGAAGTTGTCTGAGTTTCGTGCAAATATCTTTACATCGCTACAATATCTTCAAAAATGCTTCAGAGCAAATATCAGTGTCTGTGATAGAACGCATTTCACCTGATAGGACATACATGTACAGCAGTCAGTGTGCTCAAGAGTTTGTGCCGGCTGCAGAAAATTAAGTGCAAATTTAGAAAACGACACGGCACACACAATGCCCGATGATTGTATTGTAATGACAATGACGCACACATGCCATGCCCAACATTCAATTCAATACACCATGATGACTCTCTAACGTCAGTGGTACTTACAAGTCCTCCCAGCAGTGCTGGTTCATACGGCAAGACAGTTGCAGAGAGCTATTACCGCTCTCCCTGCTGGCTTCCACGCAGCGGCACTTGCGCTGGAGCCCCGAAGCCTGGCGCAGGAAATCAGCCGCCATGGCTGCGGTGAACTGGTTGCGGATCTCTTGGCTGACCTGTCGCAGTATTGCCATGTCCCAGGACGATCCGCACGTATCCAGCGACAGACCAACATAATCTTCTCTTGTGCCATCATTTCCTGTACCGACAGCAACATGCTGGTCGTTTGTCACGAATGAGAAATTGAAATTGTTGGCAACGGTTGTGGATGAGCTTTCAGCAAATGGGTTTAGATACGCCCGATGTTTGTCAGGTTCCAGCCGTGCCACTCCGAATGCGGACTCCATTGCCTGGCCGGCAAAGAATGGATTATCCACAAGGCTAACCAGACTGAACCCTCGTCGCTGAAGAGTCTCCCTCAGACTAGCTCTAGTGTTCGTTCCACCATCAGCACTCACGTCTCTGTCTTCATCGCTGATCATCAGGGCCACGTGAGCTACATCAGAGCAGCGGCGATAGGGCACACGTCGCAAGGCTGTGGACAGAGCCAAGTATCCATCCTCTTGATAGCTGTAGATGTCGACTGTGACTCCTTGCCACAGCTGTCCAAAGTTTCTGGCCTCCACCAGGGCATGTCTGTCGGCATCCAGGATTACCTTTGCTCCATTAGGAACACCTCGCCGGCCAAATGTAACAACGGAAAACAAGTTGGGACACCTTCCTTTACTGCCCAGGCCTCTGCGACGAAGAAGACGGTTGAGCAGTGTAACATATCCTGGTATATAGTCCACCTCTCTGTTCATGCCAAACGACTCATCCATTAGAAGCAGAACATCAAACGCACGTGTTGTGCTGGTCACAAAGCGTGAGTCACGACCTGTTGAGCTGCACGCACAACTGCATCCTGACACTGCAAGAGCAAGCAGAAATAGCAATAGAGAGAGAGAGAGAGAGAGAGAGAGAGGAGAGAGAGAGAGAGAGAGATAATGAGAGAGAAAGAGAGAAGGAGAGAGAATAAAGAGAGAGAGAGAGAGTGACAGGGGCACAGAGAGAGAGAGAGTGAGAGAGAGAGAGAGAGAGAGAAAGAGAAAGAGAGAGAGAGAGGCAGACAATCTTCACCAAAGTTAAGAGAGGACAATGGTTGGGAGAATATACTCACATCACCATCAACACACAGAGGGACAGATAGATTTGCCCAATAACCTGGCCTATCATACGAACATAGAGTAAAAACAGGAACAGGGTGCTAAATCTGTGTCTTTTATATAGTTGACACTGCAGCACACACACTCTAAGCACGCCAATGTTTCTGTGAAATGTATCAACAAATATTAGTAAAGTATCACGTCACGACCGTATTGTGACCTGGTGGAGACGGATGAGAAGTGAGATGTCAGAGCCTGTAGAAAAGGTGAAAATGAAGTCATGGTTATCACGTGCGAATTTCTGTGGCCCAGTATAAGTTTGAAAGTTTAGGTGAAACTTTCTTCAACTTAGGATGCTACCGCCTGGATGTGTATCTACAAAGTAGGTTAAGTCCTCCTGATGTGTATCTAGATGTTGGCATGCACATTAAGTAGTTAGGGATGCTACGTCAACACTTACTGTGATTGCTGGGCTGAGGCGCTGGCTTCACGGGAGGTGTTGGCGGTGTCTGTGAGGAGAATGCAAACAATCATGCCAGCAACCATGAATCTTACTGGTGATAACTTTCTTTCCCTCGTGGTGACACTGTCTGAAGACCACTTCACCAGATCTGCACAACTTCTAGCCCCATACAGCAGTGCATCCTAGCAACTGGTACAGAAAGCAAACATTCATGATCACCATGGTCTTAACTGTAACTGCAGTCCATAACGATACGAGTGCATGGAACACTGTGCCATGGCCCCATTGTGCTATTTTCCCCTTAAAAGAGGCTGTTAAACAGCAGTACATCAAAACTAGAGGGGCATTCGTCACGGCAAAATCCTGAATTACAACACAGTTGATGTAGATAAGCGGCAGGAAGGAAGTGGCCCAATGTGTGCAACTACGAAGTAACTGCTGCAAGAGACCCGCTTGAATCCAGCCTGAATGCACAGCACCACTGGAATTATTGTAATCAAGGATTTTTGCTGTGAAAGAAATCCATTTGAGCTTTTGCCCGCTGGTTTTCGTGTGTATGTGTTTATGATTGGAATTATCAAATTCCCATGTCATCGACGAGTTGTGCACCAATTATGCGCACTTTCAAGACTCCGGTGTGTCGGCAAAGTTGTTGACTGGACATCTCCTGGACAATGTGGCTGGCCTGGTTCCAATGTTCGAAAAGTAGTTTTGAAGTGTTTGGCATTGCAGATTTAGCATAGGACGCGCACGTTTGTTGTAACCCCGAGTTTCATGTCACAAGGCTATCAAGAGGCAACTGACTGTCAGTTGTCATAGCCTTGTGACTAGAAATTCAGGGTTACAACTAACCAGAACGTCTCCTGCTGAGTCTGCAATGCTCTATGACATCGAGCACTCTCTGCAGCGTTGGGATCAACACAGTTGTTGAAGTGCTCGGCTAACCGTTTACTGGCGAAATGCTGAATTTGGTGCATCAAGTGTACACGAGTCGTATTGTCAGTAGGATTATATACTCTGCTTGTCATTGCTACTGTGATCTTGTGTCTAACCACTCATCATTGACTCAGTCAACTTATTTCTTGACATGCTGGCCAATGAAAGCCACAGAGACCGTTTGGAGTGTTGTGAATATGCATGGATATGGATATAGGCTTCTCTTCAAGTCTCAGTTCCATGCATAGCTGATGCACAGAGGCAACCCAATGATGTGGCAATGCATACTTAACGTTTTCCTGCTTCTGTTCAAATCATGTTCCTACACAAATCATGCTGATATGTGATGTTCTATGGTAGTGATAATATACATGTATGTCAAGGGCGTCGGAACCGCACCGGCCGGGGCGGCCATGGCCGCCCCACTTTTTCGGCCGTTTTTTTTTTTTTTTTTTTTTTTTTTTTTTTTTTTTTTTAGCACACTGCAACAAAGCGCGATGATCTCAGCGCAAACGTGGCAAATCCTTGTCCCCGATCGTGGTTTGTTGCAGAATCAAAAGTCCATGTACACTGAAATGGCACCAAATGCCTGGGAATGCTTGCAATTGGCTTCAATTTTTGAATTTTTTTCCCGGAGGAGGGTAATGTTTGTCCCCGATCGTAGCATCTTCTTGTTTTTTTGCAGAATCAAAAAGTCTTTTCATTGTAGTTACCGTACACTGAAATGGCACCAAATGCCCAGAAATGCTTGCAATTGGCTTTAATTTTTGAAATTTTTTCCCGGGGGAGGACCCCGGACCCCCCTTCCATGGCCGCCCCACTTCCAAAGTCGTTCCGACGCGCCTGTATGTTGCATTGACTGGATTGCGACAAAGCAACGCTACTATACCCTTTGTAAAATGGAAAAAAATGTGGGCACAAGTTATGCGATCGAGTCTACCAACTAAACCAGATGTTGAACCGTCAGACGGGCACAATCTATTGGTTAGCGCTGTCGAGCAGTGCTCAAGCTGACTTTCATGCCGTGGAATGTCTCAGTACTCCTTGTCAGTTTTGTGCTAGATTGTGCCCGTCTGACTGTTCAAAATCTGGTTTAGTTGGTGGACTCGATCGCATAACTTGTGCCCACATTTTTCCGTGTTACAATTTTTCCTTGGCTCACCATCTGAGTACTATACCCTTTGTTCAACAATAGACAGTCACTAATCCCAGGTGGCCTACATAGCTGCTTAGCTTACCTTGGGCCTTGTGACTGGGTTTGGGTTTGCAGGTGGTGCAGGTGTTCGTGCAGGTGGTGCTTGTGACGGCTGTGGTACCAAGTCAGTCAGGAAGAAGTTATCACAAAGGCCATTGCCGTTGTCCACACACTTGAAGTTGTTGTTCACTGGACGTTGAGTGCTGGCAACGGGTGAAGGCGACTGGGAAGTACCTGCCGATGATGCTGACGTTGTGATAGCCACCGTGGACCTTGTAGGGCAGGCGGGTAAATTCTGCACAGCAAGAAAAACAGCATGAAGCAAAGGTGGAAGGCATCAGTATGCACTTACGTGAACTACTTAAAAACCCATGGCAGTAGCCTGTCTCATTGCAGCAGATCACTGCAAGCCTAGCCATGTAGTCAGCACAGAACATATGCAATCACCACGTCCAGTACATCTCCAATCATGTCATGTGCCATTCCTGTGCGAACGACTCGGACCTGGATACCAAATACAGTGTCAACCTCGTGAATAACGACTCGGAAAGTAGAACTCGCAAATAATGACTTTCTTCAGACCTAGTGAGCATTTGGCTGTGTATTTCCAACCTGGGACATAATAACAGCTCGCGAATAACCACACTTTTCTCATGCACTATCGAGGGTTGTTATTCACAAGATTGACTGCACGTCCTGGGTGCCAAATACATCCTGGACACCAAATATATGCTGGGTATCGAATACGTCCTTGGTATCGAACACTTCTGGGCATCAAATGTGTCTTGTATATCTAATACGTGGCTCTGCACAAGTGTTCAATTGCTCCACAGGTATGTGCACATACGGTAGTGTTATCATTCTACTCACAGCACCCCGGTGTTTGGCAAGCACATCTATCATGGCGGTGGTGATTGCACGCTCGGTCAACGGGGAATTGAAGTCATCCAGGCTCCACACGCTACCGCCGATGGCGAACGCCAGCTGCATGTAATCCACCACAATCCTGTCGTCAAGGTTTGACGACACCGGTCCGAGAATGGGAACAGTGACGTAGTACGCACCACCCTGTCCGTCAATGTAGCCAGTCGTGTTGGATACTACACCGAGCATTGGCAAGACGTCCAGTACAGTCAGCTGGGCGGAGATCAGAGCATGGAAGTCCACACGATATTCCTGCAACAGAGCTTGAACTGACGCCTTGCTCACGCCACCGTCCAGCACAAGACGAGGCGTTGACACAAAGAGTAACATGAGACGATACGCATACACGGGGCGCTCTTCACCGTCGACTGTCCACTGACGGAAGCGTGTCTCCATCAGAGCATTGCTCACAGCTATATAGCTATCGGCGGGTTGAATAGGGTCCGTGGACGCAGGGCTACGTAACAGTTCGGTCACATCACCTATCTCATGCACTAGCAGTGAGGAGTCCTGCTCCCGTGCTTTCAGAACACGTACCGGAAGCTCATCACCACGGCTCCCTCCGAATGCTACAATGGTGAAGCGATTCCCGCAATCAGCGGTGCCAGCAGAGTTGCACAGTTTGGCATTGAGCCGCTCAAGAAAGCCTCTGAGCAGAGTGTGAGCATCAGCCATTGTCATGGACTCTTCGACAACCACTACAACATCGGCGCAGGAATAGGTGTGGCGAACCGCCAGCTCTGGAGTAGTGAGGGCAGTCCCAGCAAGTGTTGTACTGGTATCCCGTGTGGGCAGGTTTGTTGGTTCAGTTGTCTCGCCATCACCACTTAGCAGCATGTCATCAATAGTAGGTGCTAAATATTCTGGACTAGTGTATTGATCAGTGGAAGCAGTGCTTGTTATCACTTCATCTGTAAAGGTAGGACCAATTGGTGCTTGAGATGGCAATGATGATGTGCCTGGTCCTTCTTCTGTAGCTTCTGTCTCAACGTCTGTTGCAGAATTTGTGTTTGTGACGGGCCTGGTGGGCATTGTGATTGGGTCTGTTGCAAGGCTTCTTGCCGTTGTTGTAGCTGCTGTGGGCGGTGTTGTAGTGATAGGCGTAGAAATGGGTAGCGTTGTGTCGGGTTCTGGCATTCCTGCTGTTGCTGTTGTTGTTGGTGCTGGTAGTGGTGCTGGTAGTGTTGGGGGTAGTGTTGGGGGTAGTGTTGGGGGTAGTGTTGGGGGTAGTGTTGGGGGTAGTGTTGGAGCAGCAGAGCTAGTTTCTAGTGGTGTTGTACTGCCGACCACTTCCTCAATTTTCTGTAAAAGTATAAAAGCAGCAAGAGGGAAGAGGGAAGAGGGAAGATATTCCGAATTGCAAGCATTCATCCAAGGGATATGTACTCCTCGCATCACAAGCAAAACAGATTCAATCAGTTAAATGCTATCTTCCGTCTCAACATAAATTTCACACACTGAAAGAGCATAAAATATCCCCTCCATCCCAATCATTCATGGTCTGGATCTGCCTGCCTATTTGTTGAGAGACATTATTATGCTGTAGGTGCCTCAGTCGCTCACACTTTCAGAGATATTGCACATTTCACCATGCTACTTCATCATGACAGTCAATGAACTATAGACCAGTTCTTTCCCCATAATATTCAAGTAATGCAACTACTGCACGCAAATGCAATGTATTTTTTACTCAAGAACTACTTCCAGAATAGCAATACTTGTTCTCCTATGGAATTTAGTGGCCTGAGGTCACGTAACCGTCTAAAACTCCCGGTTTGTTACCTCATTAGTATTATGATTATATAATCATAGATTTGCGACAGAACGACACAATAGAACGTCATCCGATTACAAGTCATATCACTGCTACAAGGCCTGTGACTTCATGTTCTTACCCCTCTGATGTGCTGTCCCATGAAGTTTGCAAAGGCACTGGTGATGCTTTCCTGGCTGCTCTGCTCTTTGGACTGCAGGTACTCACTGCTCCACACTGAACCACCCGTGGCCAGCGCTAGCTCAGCGTAATCCTGGTTAGTACTGCCGAAGCCTAAGCCCAGAGACCCCACTCCATCGTCGGTGTGAGTCGTCGAGCCGTTTTCCAATGCGTAGTACACACGACCATTCACATCGGTGCCAAACAGGTCCACGAATCCCACACCCGAGCTTTCCAGGATTGTCGTCGAGAGGACTGCATGGATATTGGCATCTGCTGCCAGTACACCACGTATGACTTCCAACATGCTACCATTCCAAGATGTAGAATACTGTTGGTCATTATTGGTCAGCAGGATGATTTCTTGAAGGCAAATTGGCAAGTCAGGACTCATTGGATCACCAACTGAATCAGATGGATTGCTCTGGGTTGCCGTACAGAGCTGAGAAGCAAGAAGTCCTGACGCCATACGCAACGCCTCATAGCCATTCGTCACACCATCTACAGGCTCCCTCCCCAGCATGAAGAGAGCTACCTCAAGACCATACCTATCGAGTAGTGCTTCACCGGTCCACAGCTGAAGTACCTGCGGTTCCGGAGCAGGCAGACCATGGGCAAACAGCACTGTCGTAAACGCCATACTAACTGTGTACTCTGGTATGGCTCTGTGCAGTTCACGCTCCACTGCACTCGCCATTGTGGGAAGCCAATCCACCAGGTCAATGCTGTGCTGAGACTGGTCCACTGCAAGTGCCACATCTAGCTGAACCGAGCGCTTCGGAGCACCTGCCGGTGACACGATCAAACAATGCACGGCATAGAGAAAATATCACATGTTATAGCATAAGGCATAGCACTGGCAACATACAGGTTCACCATACTAAGATCCGTGTGTTTTCAGTGATGACAGAACTTGTGACATCAACACTGTGAGTGATTAGTATCTACAAACAGGGCGTATCATGAAAGTATGAGTTGTCTTCCAGTTAGCCGTTGTGTTCTGCCTTTGCAATGGAAGCAATGTACTTATAAGTAGTGATCATTCATAATTCTCGCTCTGTATGTGCACGGGCAAAGAAGTTGCCTTGCTAGCCAATACTCCTCTGCAGGTCATTTTCTCACCTGCTTGTGGTGTCGAGCTGGTAGCGGATGTTGGTGATAATGGCGTGGCTAGGGTTGTCAATGGCGACTGTAGATAGTGATTTACTTGCTGTCAAAGCACATTTCAGCAATGAAAACACAGAGAGACGACTCTGAGCATAATTTAGGCATTATCCAGCAGATACAGTGCACATGTACAATACTTACTACCACCAAGTCCCCCCCCCCCCCCATACCAACTTTCTTGGCCATTTTATATCCGAGTGAATCCTGTGTGTGGCGTAGACCAGGTGTGCATTCGGGGTCGATGGACATGGCTTCATTCAGTCTTGTCCGCTATCGTTGCTATAAGGGGAGTCAGTGAGTGTACATCCAGTGCACTTGCAGATATGCGTGCTTCTATTGGAGTGGGCATACATGGTATACAGTGTGTGTGTGTGTACGCGCGTGTGTGTGTGTGTGTGTGTGTGTGTGTGTGTGTGCGTGTGTGTGTGTGTGCGTGTGTGTGTGTGTGCGTGTGTGTGTGTGTGCATATGTGTGTGCACACACTGAAGTATGTGTGTGTGTGCAGTAAGCATATGGTGTGCTGCAAATGTTGACTTACTGTCCCAAGATCTCGTAAGTCCATCTATACTTACTGTCTCAAGTTTCTTGCTCATTTCTGCAAACGCAACCGACAAGACATCCAACTGAGAGTATCCTGTGCCAGACTGTTCCGCTGCCCACATGGAGCCGGATGTTGCAAATGCCAATTGCATGTTGCCATCCGACACGGGTGTGGCTGAATAGTTCACCGGCAGGGGGAACTCCAAGTGGCCAAACTTGCTTTGACTGAATGCTGGTGCAAATGCGGTCGTGTTGCCTTGCCCATTTCTGGATAAACCCAGAAGATTCCGACCGCGGTATGATAGTCCAGGTGCCCCGAAATACTGGAGCATAACACTAAGGCTGGCCAGTCTCTCCACAGCCATGGAAAGAGATCTGGAGTCGAACTCACTACCAGCGACCAGTATCAATTGCCGGGCGTACACTTCTCGTCTGAGGTCCGGTGGTATTCGTAGGTCGTCGTTGCTGCGTAGTGTGACATTGGATAGCAGTGAGGACAAATCATCATAACTGTTTAGGTAAAGGCTTGCTCTTGCTGACATGCTACCGATGCTCTCCACTGGCACAGGTTCAACAACTGTGGCTGCGGGTGATGACTGCTCGCCTAAACTGATCGGACGACTCGTGTAAGGTATCAGAGAGAAGAGATTCCTGCAGCGCGGCGACTGGCCAATTCCTTTGTCACGTAGCATGGTGTCAAGCTGTCTCGTGGCATTCACATACTTCTCCTGCTCATCTTCCAGTACGGTTGCCGTATCCATAGCAACGATGGTGTCAACACAAGCCTCTGCATCCAAAAGAAATATCAAAAGGTTACATAATTATTTAATACCCAAGTTTTTTTTCACGGATTAGAAGTAAAATTGGTATTGCATGCCAGTGGTCACGAGTTTGCGTGTGCCTGCATAAGCGCTCAAATGTACAGATAGTCTACGGGTTGCTAGTATTATGCTACCGAACGTCGACCACTACATGCATGTACTTACATGAAAGTCCACTTGACGTGCACACTGGGACCTGGATGGTACATTCTAGCTATCTATGCGGGATTGGATTTCATCGGCCCCGGCTGCACCTCAACCTAACTGTACGGGCGCTACACTGACTTCCAGTAGGGAAAATCACTCACACACATAAAAAAGTCTACTACTATGAGTGGTGGCATGCCCACAAACATGCAGACACACATGCACACATGGAAACTAACAAGCTCAAGCATACACATATTCAAACTCCTTGTTAGTGTATATGGCACGCACAATGCCACGAGAATCACCGTAGGCTGTGGAGTACTTCACAGAGCTTGTAGTATAGCTCAACATAAAACAAAAATCACCGTCTGAAAGCGCGAGATAGCGTGGCATGGTATTGTTAGAGGAAAAGCAGTGGTTATTTGGCAGAATACAATACTTCTCTTTGGTCTGAGAGCGCTGGATAACACATTTCCAGAACATTAGCTGCTGGGTTCTAAGAGGGTGTGGATGGTTCATCACCTCATTGGAGCAGGGAGTTATAGAAATCTGTTTGGGCTCTAAAGCTGAACATTTCCCTCCTGGATGTATTACAATGGCGGAGGCAGCGACTTTGATAATCAGGTGATAAGGAGTGAAACCATCAATGCAGCATTGTGTATTGCTGTCCATCAAAAATATTATAGTTTCATCGGCACACCCGAACTAGAGCAAAGTTCTTGTACATTCAGGCACTGATGTATTGTGGATCGGAACTGGGCAGAATGGCAGGGACAAGCGGTCAAACATCTTGATGTTGCTGCGCCAGCCACAACTAGTGTTTTGCACATGGAACGAAACAACGCTTCACCGGTCTCTCTCGTTTCCTGCATGCCAAGACACACACACACAGACAACCAGCAGAGAATGGCAATGAACTTAGCATTGATCAACTGATCAACTGGTCAACTCACTGGCCATGAGCCAAACTCTTGGTAAGACGTGGCATTTGACAGCGGCGGCAGCAGCATCAAGCAAGAATGACCCTGGTCCCTGCCATTCCGGTTTCCAGTGTTAGCAATTCCCCGTACGGCTTCAGCCTGAAGAAGCATTGTCCCCATTTCAATACATGTCTCTATAGTCTAAACAAGGAGTACAGATAGACTCGGATGGAGAGCCGAGGATTTATAGGAAGAACAAAGGACCAATGACATCATAATCGGAGGATGCATGATCATCAGACTACGTATGAGTGATAGATATTCCATGTTCGTTAACAGGCCTTAGCGCACACGCTAAACCACCATTACGCGATCCCAGAGGTGGATACGCAATCCAGCATATACATGTATGAGTAGAATTTTAAACTGACATCTTGTTACAGTCGTAGATAGTTGCTGCATAACACGTTCTCATGTGTTTTTTCTCTTTTTTTTACGAGTACAGTTTTGTTCACTGTATCTACCGCAACACATGTGAGACACAAAAGTTAGTGTTACACTTTTGGATGAATGGACCGTTAAAGCAAAATATCTCCCATAGTCATAGCGGGTATTCGATTAGTCTTATGTCAGTACTTTTTCATCCCAAAAAATGTTTTGCCACCAGCCTTCCCCCTCTAAATCTTGCCAAGATATATGAACGATGAATCCAGTTGTTTTCTATAATATTTATGGGTAAAGTTTGTACTGTCACATGACTATCGAATACCCACTAACGTTACTGGGGCTATGTGATTACATCATTATTGAAGGTGTGCGTATGGAATGGCATCACTACCACTAGTTGGCCACTCAAAACAAAACAGATATGATGATGTCATTTGCATATATGGCGATGTCATTTACATATATGGTGATGTCATTTGGGGCACTTCAAGACAACATGCACATGACGTCATTACTACTTCTGAAGTACCCACCTTGGTCAACCTGGCATGAACATGTATACGTTCCAAACTGATCAGAAGAGACGGGTACGATGGTGGCGTTTCCCTTTGCACAGTACGCACAGCACAGCTGTGGTAATGGCTGCCCAACAAAGCTGCTGTGATATTCCTGGTCACAGGAATTGCATTCATCACCGACCCAACAGCGTCCGTTACTAAAGCCTGGACAAACAGAGGAGGTATCAGGGAGCACAAAATCATGCAGTGTGGCAAAGTCAGTGCAGGCTCATACACAAAAGGATTGCTGTAAACCGCCCAATGGTTGGGTCCCTGTTTCCTGCACCTTCTACAAATACACCATATCATCAGCAAAAACAATCCAAGATTCTACACTGAGTCATGAGTAACATACTTCTTGGCGGTCTGAGGATGGGTTGAGGACCACGTTCGCCGCGCATTGTCTCCAAGTCCTGCACACGATTAAAAGCAGAATCAGAACACAGGAGAAAGACTGTTCTTCTTTTGAACTTCAAACTGCCCATTGCAGTTTAGTAACTGTCGAACATATTCGGGAAATGGAGTAAATTGCATAAGCTGATGCACATGTGAGCCATTGCAAATAAAATCAACTGTGATCCATCTTGAGGGCAATGTGATGGATGCATGACAGCATGAAGGCCAACATTCAGTTTATCCCTAAGGTAGACTAAGTCAGCAACACACACTATTAGGCCCCGGTGTAATATGCCCGAAACTTTGCCGAAAATGCTTTTGGGAAATTCTCGTAAACCTTGCCGAAAATGCTCCCAAACCTTGCCGAAAATGCTCGGAAAATGCTCACTTTTTTGTCATCCCCAGCACACGCCGTCAAAACCAGGGAGTCAGAAAATACTCAATAAGAGACTTGCTCGAGGCTGCCGTGGTAAACAAATCATAAACTACTCAACAAGAAGTAACCCACGGAATGCGGAAGTGACGTTCTTGTTTGGGAAGTTTTCTTCTCTCAATTTTGATACACAACGGCCAAAGGCTCCGTTTCCCCCAAAATGCTGCATCACGAGCCCAAAGTGCTGGGTTCGCGGATTGTACCGAAAATGCTCAAAAAAATGCCGGCATATTACACGGGGCCTACACACTATTGCCATGAGGGAAGTTGTAATTTACCTGCACTGCGGACTGAACAATGGTGTCGCCAATTGCAGACGTCATGACTGGCTGCATGCTGGTTTCACGCAGCTTGATGATATCCCACACACTGCCACCGAGGTCCAGAGCCAAGTTGGAGTAGTGCTCGGTGGTCCGGGCAAAACCAGAACCCAGTGATGCTGAGTTAACTTGCCGATACTGGCCACGTCCGGCATCCCTGTAGCCCTGACCAGACTGGCTCAGTCCCAGGATGTTTGCACCAGTGGCGGTGATGCGCTGGTCCACGACGGCGTGTAACCGGGCACCGCTGCGTCGCAGGATGGAGTTCATCACGGTGGTACTCAGTGTTCTCGACGGACCCGTCTGGTCCCAGTCCTCGTCGGTCACCAGCAGAATAACCCTTGTGACCGGCGGTCCATTGACACCACGCTGCATACGCCACATCGTCCTTTCTAGAGCGTAGTCCAAGGCATGGTAGCCGTCTTCAACAAAACCATTTGGATCCGATGCCAGCGACGACGCCAGAACGATGAAATCACGTGCACTGACCGAGTCCAGGGCACGGGCGTCGCGAAAGATATGCGGTACGACATCTCGGCGTCCGAAGCCGACCAAGGAGTAGAGGTTAGGGCACTGCCGGTATCGTCTCGTGTCGCCAATGCGCCGTGCCAGTAGTTGCTGCTCGAGATATTCCACTAGCTGTGGCAGCCAGCGATGCTCTATCATTGTGTTCTTGGATTCGTCCATCACCACAAGAATATCAGCACAACCAACTGTAAGCACACAGTTATAACAAACCGAATATGCATGCTCTTCAAATTAATATTAGCGACCTTGCTTCAGGGGTCTGCTAGCTGGTCAAGTCATGGAAAAAGCCTTGTTTTAACATGAATACACACTGAACATCTGGGGCGAGAAGTTCGAGGACTGAAACCATGATGCAAGCTGACTGTCTGCCACACTTTGCAGAATCCCATTTTGGGTTTAATTGTGAGTATTGGATCACTGGCCTGCTAACCCCGCCCCCCACCCTGGTTTTGAAGGCTTTGCTTCAAATCTCACTTCTGACGCCATATTGTACAGTGAAGGATTGGTGCATACTTCAGTGTGTGAATGTGGATAAAGCGGAGGCAAAGAATAATATCATGGGTACCGTAAAGTCTTGTATAAAAGCCGCGGCTTCTACGACTTTCTTGGTGAAATTTTGCAGGCTTCTATATGAGACAGGCTTCTATACAAGACAGGTATTTCTATGTATGTCAACACTAAAACCTGGCTTATGTGTGATTTGATGGGCCCAGAATTGCGGCTTCTATTCGAGGGCGGCTTCTATTTAAGTGCGGCTTTTATACAAGACTTTACGGTAGATATTTGGATCTTGCGGGCACCTATAGTACCATAAATACAAATGGGTAGTACAGGGCTATGCACTGCACTGTATATTCTTTGACATACTGTCGTGGATATTGAAATCTGATGTTATGACCGGGGCCGGCGCCCTTACCCCGCTTTTAGCACGTACATGCACTGTAGTTCATGTACACACTAAAAAGGGACCAGCACTGCTCACGGCTGCAAGGCCAGCGCCCCGTGGCCGCTTGACTTCTCAGCGGATTTCAATGTCCGCTACAGTACATGAAGGGACAATGTAAGAGAGAACATCCATCATGGTGGATACTATTAAATCATGCCGCAATCACCCACTAACCATCCTCTGCTATGCAGTTGCAGCCTTGATTTTCAGTGATGTTAGCGTAGCCACGAGCACATTCGGAGCAGCAGATCTGTTCACCAAGGACCGTACCAACGTACTGTGGCTCACATAGGTTGCATTGGGATCCAAACCAACACTGCGCAGGTGGAGGGTCGGCTGTAGGCAAGAACATGTGTACACACAATCGTTTCCAGCATCATTGTGGAGTTGTGGAAAGAAAAACCTGATTCTTGCGGCGAGGGATCATACCATACAGCTTGCAGCCCCTGAAGGCCTACCTACCTGCCTACCTATAGTTCATGTATTACATACAACCTGTATTGGTTTGTCTTAGGGTCCGTAATCATCACAAATGCATATCCGCGTGTTACATCATTGAAGTTCATTTGTTGCGTTGTCCCATATGGTAAATGTCAGGTTTCACTTGTCATGATTGCTGATGCATTTATAGATGTCGTTTGGGTAAGAGAGTCGTCATGATGAGAGGGCTTGTATTTGTGAGCCCTACATTTGCTTGGTGTGTGCATGAACTTCATGTCCCCTAGGGAATGTGCACGATGTCACGAAACATAATTATTTATAGAGAGCAAATACAACATTTTTTTAGCTTGTTTTCTTTACACTTCTTTGTGCGAGTTTCGTATCAGATCTATTGAAAAAGTTCAAAACTTTTTGGTTGATGGAATTGACATGTACATGGTACATCAGTCGAAACACTGATAATTTACAATCTCTTTTCATCTTGTTTTTATTTTTCTAAACACCAACCGGTACTTTTACCCATTCTACTTCCCCATAGCTAGATCTAGCTCCGCTTTACATTTCTGTTTCTTTTTCCTGGTGTGTGCTTGTGGCATTGAAGCCGAGACCTTTGGTCGGTGGAGCCCCTGGTACCTCACCATCACTGCTGCCCAGTGCAGCCTCTGCTCAGTAGCTGTTTGTTTTTGTCCACATAATTATTTATTTTACGAGTTGGGTTTGTGAACAATAGTAAAAAACATGAGACCTCACTGCTTGAAATTCTCCACGGGATATGTATATTGGTACGCGATATGTCGGGAGTACCAAGGTCAGGTGTCGTATAACAACATACTATAAACCCTGAAACATTTGCGTTGGTTTTGGTTCGCGATTTGCGAGCACAGACAAATTTGCACCTGAGGATGTTTTCGATTGGAGTCAATTTCATCAGTTTCTTTACTACAGCTCTACGTTTTGCGCCGGCTCAGTTTTGCAATTTCACACTATCGTGACAACCGTGATGGATTCTGGATTGCAATGGTTTTGGGGGTCTACAGTACTATGCATGTGTTGGCCAGCCCATGGGACATGCAGTAAACATCTCACCAACAAGGCAATGCAAGTGGCTACTCAGGCATGACCTACGCCTCAGTTAATGGTATGCTGGTTGGTCACATGAAACATGCAAGCAACATCAGCACATCCACACACAAACAGACATATACTAACACACACATACAAACAGACACACATACAAACACACAAACAGACACACATACGGACACTGGACCCTGACTTCACACAGTGTACTACATCTAACAAATGCCGGTGACAATGCTTTTTACTTACTTTGTGTTGGTTCAGTCAAATCTCTTGTTGCCATTAGCTAAGCACATGACAGTAACACAACAGGGTTAAGAAGAGGATGAACTGTCACTCTACCATAGAAATGAGCAATGCGAATTCTATTAGGTGAAAAGAGCTGAGAACCCAACATAAGACAGTACAACAAAGTTGCCTGATGGCTGCACTGACTAACTGAGCATACAAAAACAGCATTGCTCTACTGTTATCCTGTGTACTGCGCTTTACTTTCACGGCACCCGAGCACTTTCTCAGCACACTGGGTGCATTCTTCTGTTATTGCAGTATAGAAAAAAATGGCTCAATTTTTATTTTTGATATTGTTGAGCTGACACAAGATTCTTCCCACCACTCTAGAAACACTAAACACGGGTCTCTTGTCAATGTGAACTCTTTTAATTTCATCTCCATGAGTCCAATGAGAAGGAGTTGAAAATATTTAGAAGTTTTTCGAAAGTTGACTGAGTAATGACATTTCCAAATTTATAACCATACCTCGTTAAGCCGATAGACCATGCTGAAGGCAAGCGCATTGGCAGCGGATTCATTCTCGGTCGGCTGCCGGAACTGCTTCACGTCCCACGCAGAGCCTCTAAGGTCGATAGCGAGCTGCACGTAGTGCTCATTTGTCCTGGCATAGCCTCGCTGGACAACGACACCCTGTGTTGTGCCGGTGAACCAGTCATTTGGCATGGAGTAAAACCCGTGCCGAGGTTCAAGTGCCACACCGAGTGCCGGATTTCCATTAGCCAGCATTGAGTTGTCAACAATGGCATGAAATCCGGCATTGGCCAGCAGTGAAGATATGGTTTCTTTGGAGTAGTCTCGGCCGCGTGCCGACACATCTCGGTCTTCGTCGCTGATAAGCACCACCTGCCTGAAAACATTGGCATCGCGGCGTAATGGAAGGTCCACAAGTGCAACATGCAGAGCCTCGTAGCCATCTTCGATGGATCCATCACGGTCTGCCTGCACCTGATCCGAGATCTCGGAGAACTCGTTCATCGTAACCATGGCCTTGCCAGCAGTGTTGAACAGAATCACGCCGTTGACGTTGGAGCCAGTCTGACCAAACACCACAACACCGTAGTGGTTCTGGCAAGTGTCGTCATCGCCATAGCCGTTAGCCTGCAGCCAGGTGTGAATGTGCGGCAGTGCCTGGCGCATCCAAGTGTGTTCTCTCTCCGTGTTTCGAGACACATCCACCACCAGTACAGTATCGACACATCCTAAATCAGAGCAGGAAAATGCCAAGTATTTCCATTCTGAATATGAATTATTCTGATTGGCTACGAAAATCTCCATACTGTTTCCGGTAAATACCACATGGTAAATACCACATGGTAAATACCACATGGTTGATACCACATGGTTGATATCACATGGTAGATACCACATGGTTGATACCACATGGTAGATACCACATGGTTGATACCACATGGCTGATACCACATGGTAGATAGCACATGGTTGATACCACATGGTAGATAGCACATGGTAAATAGCACATTCAAAATTTAAAATACTATTCTACAATGATTGCCCGTCTAGCATAAAAACACTTCTTCATGGTAAGTTTGGTCCAGGACCATAATGTACATTTACTTGTCAGCCCTTCAAATAATTCCTCTTCCTACTCACATTGTGTTGTCACACTTACTTGGAATGGTTCCTGGTACTTGCTTCTGTAATCAGATAATCAAGATGCAGAAAGAATATTATGGCTGAGATTTTTTTAAAGCAATGAAACATCAAACCTTCGAGGAAAAAGACTTGAATTTTTCAGTCACATGCCTAGACAGCCGCAGTATACATCCGTTTACCTCTTCTAGGGTCAACAACACTTAAGCATAATGTTTCTGTACAGAGTAATGGTATCGACAAGACGTTTTTAGTACGTTCTGGGCGAGAAAAACCAGAGTGATGATTGCAATCTTACCTGTCTGATTGAGTCCACAACAGCCCTGGACACAGATTTCGCCATTGTGCACAGAGACAGGGATGACTGCTCGTTCTTCAGCATGTTATCGTTCCAAGCAGAACCACCCAGAGACATTGCCAGCCTCGTGTAGTGCTCATTTGTCCGAGAGAATCCACGCCCAAACGTCATGGTGCCAAATACGGACATGGCCTGGCAGGGTACGTTCTCGTCCGCAAGGGCTGGCAGATAGGAGCGCTGTCCTTGACGATCAGTGCCCAGTGCACCGACTTGACCGAAGGTGAATGTTTGATCGACGATGACATGCAGGCTTATGCCTAGCTGTTGCAGTTGCTGCTGAAGTGATTCGAACGTGACATCTGTCCCTTGTGGTGTGTTGTCCCGGTCCTCATCAGAGATCAGAACCATGCCGGTATGGAACATTGATCTGGATGTGTACTGTCTTAAATTCACATTGTCCAGTGCAAATTTGATCGCCTCGTAGCCATCCTCCGTGCGGCCCAGTCTATCTTCGCGTATAAACGATGCCAGCTCTGGGAAATCTTCAACGGTGACAAGATGCTCTCCACGACTGTTCTGTATCAGATGTCCGTGCTCGTTGGGTGCTGAGCGGGCAAATCCGACAGCGGCATAGTGGTTGCGACATGCATCCACACCCGGCCGGCCAAACCCACGCATGTTGAGCTCTTCTTCCAGTCGCCTTACTAGCGTGGGCAGCCAGCGGTGTTCAGTGCCCATAGCTCGAGATTCGTCCACAATGAACACAGTATCGGTGCATTGACCTGTGCAGAACGACATTCAAACATGTAGACATAGCCAGTGTTGTTAGCACCGACCTATTGCACCTAACTCTAAAGTAGGAGCTTGCACATTTCACGAGTCCTCAGAATTGAGTCATTTCAGGCACGAGGTGGGTGAAGGGGTGGATGGGTGACGGCAGTGGTGATGGGAATGAACACTGCCTACTAGATACTACAGCTGCAGGTTATTCACTTTAAAAGCTTGGAAATCGCACTCCTCCGGACTGCAGCAGAGATTGCCTTTCTGGACAATACAATGAGTTAAATCGGATTACACTATTCACCACACACGTAAATGCTTACACACACACACACACACACACACACACAAACATGCACTCATGCATACACACATGCACACACCCTCTCACACAGAATACTCAAGTAGTTAGAGTGAAGACGCATCAGTATATCCATACCTGGAGACGCACTCACTTGAGAACTCGCCTGATCTACAACTGCCCTGACAGGTAGCTGAGCCAGGGCAACACAAAACAGCAAATACAAGAACATAAGATATCTTACCATATGGAGGATTGGCCGCATACACATCTGGAGATACATAATCTTATATGGCTGGTAACAACAATGTGTTCTGTACAAAGTAGCCCTGAGAAGCAGAGATCCCAAGCACCACCTACCATACTATTCGAATAGGACTAGTGAACTACGGCACTTGCCACATGTTTTGCACCGGATTGATCACTCATGTCTCCTCTGCTCGGCTATATATGCCTGAGCTGCTTCCAATCTGCTTCCCCGTTGTTTGAGGATTGGTTTTTAAACAACGACTCTCTGAGCAACAACAAAAAAGCCCTTACTTCTCTTTCTGTACCTCTTGTTCCCTATCAGAATTGCTTACCTTTTCTACACGGCAAGCATCGGCTACAATAGCCTGCTCCAATGAGCTAGTTAGGGCGCACGTGTTGCTATCCGGGGTTGTGCCAAGGTGTCGGATGTCGAATGTTCCTCCGCCGACTTCCATGGCGAGCGTGGCATAGTCTCTGATAGTCTCTGAGAAGCCGTTGGTCAGGAATCCCAGCGTGTTGGCCTGGTTGACATTGCAACCACCGGTGGTGTACCACGGGCCGGATGACGTCACTCCCAGGGCAGGTAGGCCGTTTGTACGCTGCGTCGTCAGCCGGTTATCCACAACTGCGTACAGAGAGAATCCGCCCTGTTGCAGCTTGGAGATGACTTGTTGGCGAGTGATACGACGGCCTGTTCCAAACACATCACGATCTTCATCCGATGCAAACACAATGAACTTCTCCACCTTGCCAAGATTCCTGTAGCTAAGATTGTCGATGGCCACGGTAAGTGCTTCGTAGCCATCCTCGAGCCGTCCCTCGTCATCTGAAGTCAGTTCCAGTGCCAGGGTCGATGCTTCCTCCGCGCTCATCATGTTCTCGCCACTGATTGTTGAGTAGATTCTGGCATTTTCCTGCGGCACACGCCGACCAAATCCGACGATTCCATAGCGGTTTCGGCAAACGGAGGACATCCCAAGCTGTGAGGCCATCATTCGGCGTTCCAGCGATGTGATGAGCTGAGGCAGCCAGTCTTGAAGGGTTCGGGAACTTTTAGACTCGTCAATGACAAAGGCAATGTCAGCACAACCACCTGAAACAAAAACAATATCCATCATGCCGAAGAAAGATACATGCACATGACACTTGAATTCTCTAAGCATTGATTGACATGAGACAGCACAGAGTAGCCTTAAAATGATAATTATAGTCAAGACCTCAAACGCACAGTCATTGCAGTTGCAAATCATTACGAACACAGGGTGTGTGTGTGAAAACTTTAGTACAGTGAAACGTCAATACAATACACCTCCAGGGGACATAAATCAGTCCTTTACAGCCGTAGTACTTGATATCGGAGGCCAAATGAATAAAAAAGATGGTCATGGTCCTCAAAAGGCATTTTAAATCCGCTGCCAAGAGATGCCAAGAGATGCTCAGGAAGCTCTTAGTGGCATTCACGAGTCAGTCAAGTGTGAATTCAATTTGGCAGGAAAAGCACGAGCTCCCACGTAGGGCAACATACAATGAGAAAAGTATGTTTTACCATTGTGTGCTTTTTACTGAACCCATCACTATAATTATGTGTGTTATGATCTCTGGTACAATCACTAGCAATAGGAAGTGTGAACAAGCACACTATGCATGGTGTGAACAAGTACACTATGCATGGTGTGAATAAGCACACTATGCATGGTCAGTAATCATGTACTGTACAGCAGGAAATTTTCGGACGGAATTTAAATTCGCACGATTCCGTACATGCCCTCTTTAGTGCAAAAATGAATCCCGTACTAAAATGTGTTCATGTGAAATTATGTACACTACACATGCGTGCGAACATGTGCATTTAGCATGCAGCACTGTACGAAGAAAAATCCGTACGAAATGTCGAAATTCGGCTTTGTCCGAAAATATTTCCGTCCGAAAATTCCTTCCACAGTGTATAGAGCATTTTAAAGACGGTGAAGCAATAGTTCCCGCTACACAGTATTGCCAAGGCTGTCAATCAGCATGCCCCAGTTGCCGGCATCCCCGACTCACCGGCCAGTTCACAAGATGAGAAGCTCTCGCACAGCTGCCCATAGTAGCCTGGCCGGCAGAGGCAAGCAAAGCCGGTCGGGACTGGCACGCACGTTGCCCTATTCCGACAAGGTAGCGTCGCACATGTGGACAACACTGCAGATACACAAATCGAAGAGTAACGTTATCGCAGGCAATCATAGTGTAACAGCCCGAGACTATCGGATCAAACCCGACTCAAAAACGAAATATAAGAAAAGGCTAATATGTACTTATCATCCAGGTCTAATTCCTCCTCATAAACTAAAACGTAGCTCGGTATAAATTGACATAGAGAAAATGCAAGTTTTACATACAGAGGAAGAGTTTTCCAGATGATATTCCTTCATTGAATTGCTTTCATGCCAGTGAAATGTCTAGCTTAGACAGGCTGACTGTGTGTGTGTTGATGTGTGGCTAGTTCAAGCCAGTGTGTCTCACCTTGTTGGCACAGTGATCCCGACACTCCCGCTGGGCACCTGCAGCGTGTTGATCCTCCCGACAGCACTTCACACTGTCCACCGTTCTGGCAGAGGAGACCCTCACAGAAATCTGAAGTACAGAGAATGTTGCGGATATGAAGAGCACGCGTGTCACCTGTGTATGAATGGCAATAGCTGGATCAACAAAATACCTAGTTTTGAGCTTCAAACATGATCCGAATGGAATGGGCAGTCTTACATACTATGATCGTCTGCTTTCCAATTGATCATCCTACTCTGTGCCATATCTACTCGTAGCCCATAGACACAAGTGGGCATATTAAATAACAGAAAGACAGATCACCGGTTGAAGAGGACATGTCACCGATTTCTGGGTTGTTTTCTCATACTTCGAAGGCACCCTACTCCTAACACGTGGCACAATATTGCCAATGGGCGCTTTCAAGTAAGCTCTCATGAAACGGTAGCCTAAATTTAGTAAATTATCATCGACTGCCAATGCATATTTCTTGACTACTAAGATCTGGTCAGAAGCAGCCAAGAAATATCCATGATCCCGCTGGTAATGCCTGATTCAGCTGATCGTGATTCTAAATATCAAACGGCCAAGTCAAAGCTCAAGCATACCTGCCTGACAACGGTCGCTGCCAAAGCGTGGTAAGCAGTTGCAGGAAAAGCCACTTGCAGTGTTGGTGCATGTGCCACCGTTGAGACAGGAGCTAGGCGAGCACTGTTCTATTCCTGAGAGGAGCAGCAGCAGGAGCACACCATGAAGGCCCGTTAATGATCTTCACAGAATCCATGTGCATACCAATATGCATCCAATATGCAGCTATGTTCTGCCTTACAGTTCAGCATCCTCTGCAGCCAAATTCTGGTCGCCGCTTGAACCTCACGGGTAAGAGAAAGTGAGGCTGAGTACATTATATAAGAACACATGCCAATAAAACTCTGCACCCAGAAAACCATCTTTGTTTCAAGCAAATATATGCCATATCAGGTTTCGTGCAGTATGAGTTCCATTGAATAATACTTGGTCCGACTTATTAAAATGTGCGTTTCGCTTCGAACGTCAACCAAACAAATTCAAATAATCTCAGGACGGAATAAACTATCCAGCTATCTAACACTATCCTTCAGTTGTCAATTTGTGATATTGAAGAAGGAATGGCTCCAACTCCAAAGGAGGCAGCGGCTCAGGACCCTAGTCGACTCGAGCATTTTGCGTCCAAATTTTGTCGTCAGAGGACTCCTGTTGCTTCTCGCGCAACACAGAGAATGCCTGGTGCTGAAATCAACACCCCACTGCGATGGGGGATTGTCACGGAGTACCAGAAACTCCTGGGCGATAGTTCTCGGTGCCTCCTGGCGGATTGATCGCTGCAATCGCTGTTTCCTTGGCAGAATTTCAGCAAACGCGTCATCCAGAAACTCGTGCAGAAAGCACCAGCATCGCTCCGCCCAGTTTGCTGATCTCTCTCGCAGTCGTTCACGATGTGGCTTTCGACGAATCAAGATCACAGAAGAGATCGTCGAGAAGTTGATCGAAATAAATATCCGGCCTTGAGGTTGACTTTCAGGCGACAACCTGGCTGGAAAACTGAAGCGCAGAAAGGGTGAATTATCCGGCGGATACGGTGCGGAGTCCTCGGAGCCGCTATCGCGATGCGTCACAAGATCGCCAGTCTCCGGGGCCAGTGGATTCGTGAAACAGGCAGGGAAGAGCATGCATGGTCTGACTGATGACATGTCGACACAGATCAGACTCAGTAGTGACAGTACGCGCGTGGCACACGGTGATGAGAAGTGATTTTTACGCGTGGTGGTTTACTTGTTCGCCTCATTTGAAGGTGTCGTGGGAGCGTCAGGCGAAAACACCTACAGCCACCATTCTGGCAGTCGTACTGCACGAGGAGGAGGCGAAGTCGATCGTCTAAATCGTGCCTATGGAGTGAAAAAATCAAGGAAGCGCAGTGTAGCTTGGAGGAGATGAAAAAATGTTGACGTTTTGCAGGTTGACGCACTTGCAGATGCGCCCTGAGACACCAACAGCGATGAAAACTAGAAGGTCAGGCCAAGAAACGACACAATAGTTATCTATCTACCGTCTCTTGGTTGATTTTTTAGTACAGGTGCTCCTTTGTACATAATGCTTGAGTTTTGAAGTGAAGCGCACATTTTAATAAGTCGAACCAAGTACTTGTATCCGTAATGTACAATGAGTTGATAAACATTAAACTCAGAGTAGCGACAACCTAGCCCTTCTTGCCCTTGTTGTTCTGTGTGCAATGAGTTGCAAATGCAGGGGTGTCGGAAGGTATTTTCGTGTGGTGCGGGCAGCCATCTGAAGTACAGTTTACTCATGTGGGAGGGGCGGCTGAGCCGAAAGGTTTGGAAAGTTAGAGCCCAGATGAGTGTAGTTTATTGATTCACAGGGTATTTGGGACAAAAAGTGGTACGGTCAATACCGTAGTGACCGTACTGTGATTTTTAGTTATGTTTGCAGTATGTTTGCAGTATGTTTGCAGTATGTTTGCAGTATGTTTGCAGTATGTTTGCAGTATGTTTGCAGTATGTTTGCAGTATGTTTGCGGTATGTTTGCGGTATGTTTGCGGTATGTTTGCGGTATGTTTGCGGTATGTTTGCGGTATGTTTGCGGTATGTTTGCGGTATGTTTGCGGTATGTTTGCGGTATGTTTGCGGTATGTTTGCGGTATGTTTGCGGTATGTTTGCGGTATGTTTGCGGTATGTTTGCGGTATGTTTGCGGTATGTTTGCGGTATGTTTGCGGTATGTTTGCGGTATGTTTGCGGTATGTTTGCAGTATGTTTGCAGTATGTTTGCAGTATGTTTGCAGTATGTTTGCAGTATGTTTGCAGTATGTTTGCAGTATGTTTGCAGTATGTTTGCAGTATGTTTGCAGTATGTTTGCAGTATGTTTGCAGTATGTTTGCAGTATGTTTGCAGTATGTTTGCAGTATGTTTGCAGAGACTACATGACTGTATGCTGAGTGTTGACATTACTGTACGCATGCTTATTCCATGCTTACTGTCTGAGCAGGTTGGTCCTCTGAAGCCAGACGCACAGAAGCAACGGGCCTCTCCGGAGACAATGCGGCACGTTGCGGCATTGCGACATGACAGTTCCCGACAGAGAGCTGTATGCACATTGCCATAAACACACACAGGGGTGAAAGAACTGGTTATACGGGTAAACTTCGAGGGAAAGGATGGAGACTTGCGAAAGGCTTGGAAAGAAGAGTCAAGGCATGTGAATTTGCTACAGGCACGAACGCCATTGATCATGCTATGCAACTACAGTAGACATGAGACCTGCGCTAACATCACCCTATCAGCCGGTAGATACTAGTAACAGACCATCACAATGCTCATTTGGCATAGCTGTGCCTATCAACAAAAACAGATGGGTCACATGTGCGCATGCATGTATGTGTTTGCATAAACACATGTGCCGCATGTGTCGCTGGTGCTGCAGCCTCAGGAAAATCTACTCGGACCGCACAATCCTTGCTTATCTCGCACAGAAACAGAAACACATCTTCCCTGGTATAAATGTAGAGATTTCTGATGTCCAAGTCAAAGCTAAGCAGCCATTTGCATTCGTGAATCGATCAGGCCTGATACTGAGACTGTGGTCAGTTCCAGTATGCATCATGTGTATCCCAACCTCAATTCTAACCATACCTTGTTCACAATAGCCTTCATTTCCGGATGTGATCGGGCGACAGGCATCTAACGTTACAAGGATGTAGAAGAAACAAGAAATTAGAGAGTAACTTTCTCGGAGACAGAAAGCAGTTACACAATTGTTTGAAAGGGAGAAACCCTCAAAATGAGGCAGAGCACCTCAGTTCCGCCCTAAAGACCAATAGTCATGATGATGGTAATGGCCAAGGAACAAAGTATGGCCAATGATACCAATGATACTACACATAACATGGACATCATTTCAGTAGATCTTTTCAGAGATTATCTCAGTGGAGTTTGCCGCACTGGCTATGAAAAAATGTAGATTTCTTTTTGACCGGATTTCATTTCTCAGCACAATAGGAAGGACAAAAATGGAACACTGAACAGTAACAAGCAATGCAAGATACCGCTCTCCGCCTACACACAACGTCGCCATATCCCAGTACTGACCGGTCTCGCAAGCATTGCCTCCGTAGCGACGCGGGCAGTCACACTGGAAACTTGTGGGAGAGTTGGAGCATCTGCCTGCATTCTGGCATGGGTTAGGGGTACACCGGTCACGGGTGGCTGAATGAAACACGGCACAAGAGAGCAAATCACAAACTTGATAGCATTTCTCTGACACATTTGTACACCGGCTCGGTCCCTACTACTCCTCACGTTACGAATCCTTTTACCTAGGGAAATTACGACAAGTACATCATTATCCTTTCCAGTTTGGTCTTCAAAATCCCCCTGCTCAAGAAGTAACACAGAATATGCAAGCGCTCACATACAAGTATAATGTTAAAATTAACCATATGTGTAGGCGTTCTGATGAAAGGGTTGACTTGGTGGCCATGGATCAGACCTTACTTTGCAAACACTGCGGTCCCATGAATCCAGGAACACATACACATCGTGCTGAGCGCTGCACCACTGCGCAAGCACCTCTGTTGTAGCAGGTGACAGCACTGCAGAGATCTGACACAGAAAGCAGGAGGAGTGGGGATTATAAATAGATATTGGATCAGCCCAGCACAAGCTTCAAATTTGGTGTTATCATACATGGAATATTTTGCATGTCATAATCATCCCAATTACACTTGCACACACATGTGACCACACACATCATAACGCGTGTAAACTACACAAACATGAATGTAGAACTCCAACGTTTGCCTGCCGGCAGAGGCTACTTTGATGGCTAAAAAGTGAAACGAACATTTGTACATAAGCTCACCTCTCTCACAGCGACTTCCTCTGAAACGATCAGGGCAATTGCACTGAATGCCTTCGACGGTGTCAATACATCGACCGCCATTCACGCATGGGTTGGACACAGCACAGGACTCGTCGGCTGCAGGTGCACAAGGCAGTAGCAGATAACTTCAGAAGTCAAATTAAATTTGTTAACCGCACTACGAGACCTGGACATAGCAAGTGATGTACATGCACTTGATTGGGGGTAAGTGCATAGAGGCCGGTTCTTGCATTGTGCAGTGGCACAGAAGACTATACACAAAGACAACATGTTTGGCATGGTCATCTACCATATTGCCCAGTGATTGTATTCATTGTATGATGGGCATGAAGTACAGGATTTTAACATACTAGCCTTATCCAGCTGTTGTCAGGGGCGGATCCAGGGAGGGGAGGGGGGGGCAAAATTAATGTACTACTAGAAACCATATCTATGTAGAAGAACAAGTACGCGTACATGGATCAGCTATTCATTTTTGGCTAAACTGAAACCCCCCTGTATTGATCTCTGGATCCTTGCCTGGTTGTACCGTGTGTATGGAGAGAGTAAGCAAAGTACCTACTGACCTTGCATACACCGTGGTCCTGTGAGGCCAGGCGGACAGTCACAACGAGGATTACCCGACGCGGCCACTTGGCAAGTTCCGCCATTCTGGCAATCCAATATGGCACAGATATCTACAAAGCAGAGGCACAGACAATAATGCTGTGGAGCATCTACATCTTCACAGCCAAGCAGTCACAGCAAGAATTCATGCATTCTTCATTGAGTAGCAGGAGCACAAGTTCTGCTTTCACCGGGCTCATGATTATACCGCTCATGCCGAGACTACCATATTTTCCAGAGCATGCCGCACTTTCAACACTCCTAATCCACCCAAAAAGAGTCAGTGCGGCTTACACAGGGTGGATGTCAGTGTTTCGTGACAATACATTTGGGTGCCGTCTATACTCTGGAAAACATGTGAAATTTTCGAGGGGGGGGGGGGTATTCCTCTCTAAAGGACAACTCGATGATCATGCCAGTGATCCCCGACTCTCAATCTGATCTGATTTCAAAGACTGCGTGCAAGATGGGAGGAGATCGGCAAGAAACATTATGCTAAATCAAGTAGGCACTCACCTGCATTTCGAACCCCACACGTTTCTCCCGAGTAGCCACCAAAGCACTGGCAAACAGCAGCACCGTTCTCCGCCACACTACAACGCCCATTGCCACTACATGGGTTGTTGGAGCACACACCTACCAAGACAACACCAACAAAGCACAGTAATAGAGAGAGAGAGAGAGAAGGCAGTGATAGTGTAAAAGACAAGCTATTGAGGTTTTGCGGAAAAAAGTTGTTATAATGACGAGTCAGCAGAATTCCGGAACCGCTCATGGGCGAGAAGTATACAGCAGAACAGCTTACGGGCGCTATAGATACAGAGTGAGTTGCTAGGGAGTTGCTAGTGCATGGCTGTGCCGCGACTTTGCCAACGCATCTCAACTGATGATGTAATCGCAAACCTCTAGATGACGTCATCAGTTCACTTCACTTCTTCCCTTTATCTGTGAACCACACTGGTGACATCATGAAAGAGAGTTCAAGAAGCCAAGAATACCACCTGAACAACATTGCAACCCGGTCACCTCGACCTTGACATCCTGGGTCCTCTCTAGCAAAGGAATAATGATGCAATCAAAATCAATTTGGGCCATGAAAGTGCACGTTGGTCAGGATTAGACCAGCCAAAACTATGTACGCCTATGTGTAAATGCAGTGAGGACCAGATTATAGTTGTTGAAGAACTCACCAAACTGACACCGATCACCTGAGAATGCCCCAGCACACAAACATTCATATCCGGATAATCCACTGGTGCATGTACCACCGTTTGCACACGGTGAGCTTCTGCAAGCATCTGTAATACACACACACACACATACACACACACACACACACACACACACACACACACACACACACACACACACACACACACACACACACACCGTGGCACACACACACACACACACACACACACACACACACACACACACATACACACGCACACACACGCATGCATGCGCGCGCGCACACACACACACACACATACACACACACACACACACACACACACACACACACACACACACGCATGCACGCATCCGAACACAACACATACAACTCGTCACATTTGCTAGGCAAAATGTCACAATACTGCTTTCTTCAGGCGTTTTTTTGTATCATCTCTTACATTTCTATTCCCACTTTGTTTTTCTGTTGCCCTCTACTGTCACTATGGCTAGCTAATGCCCACTTCATTGGTCATTGGCTAGTTCAACGTAATTGTGAATAAATAAAAATCAACAAAAAAGTTCAGTGGACCACACGGGTTATCATGCATCAAACAAGGTAGACAGTCTGCACCTTCGTTCTAAAAGGCTTTTTGGAGCATACATCACTGAACACATTAGCACCTAGTATCAAGAGTACATAAGCTGCCGAGAGTGGATACCCTTTCTATGAGGTTGGTCAACGCCGAACCCTTACATCGCATGGTGTAGTCCCAGCGTGTATCTAGTGACCCGCAATGAAGTTGAAAAATAAATAACAATCCTTGCAACAGAAAGACACTGAGCTTATGTGAATCATCAGTCATGATCTGGCAGATATTCGCACCGAGCACATGCTAGCCATCATTGTGCTTAGTGCAAACATACTTGAAACACGTGATGTGAATTTTCCCTATCGGAGACCCTGTATGCAGAGGTGCACACTCTTCCGAGCTTATCTGCTCTTGCTGGTATAGTTGCAAAAACGTAATAGGCACTGTTGTTGTGATTTCACCTGATGTACAACATGGAGAGCTGTTCACACACATTCGGGACAACTTTTTAGTGGACGTATATCCCACTATGACGTTCGTCACTCATAATCCTTTCATCTGGGCGCGCGCTGTCCGGCGTGGCGGTTGTACCCTACGTAAATACTTTCCCACTTCAACGTAACATCATCAGCCCATGATCAGACGTCAGGTTAGGCTCATAAATGTTGGGGGGGGGGGGGATCCGCCGCCCCAGAGGCGTCAAAGTCCAAATACCATGTGCTGGCACAAGTTCCCAATGGGCTGTTTGTTTCCAAACAGAACTTGATCCTAGGTGACAACTTGGGGTGGCGATACACCTTTCATGCAATTTCTACTATTCACAAATGGCCCATACTTTGACACACCAGATTCTCAGATGTTAATCTGAATAAGGCAGAAGCCGCGATTGAGACCCATGGCACTTACCGCCTTCACTGCAGGCCAGTCTCTGAAAGGGTACAGAAGAAAGACACAAGGGGTTAATAGAACCAGTATTAACAGGAGTGGCAGTCTCATTCATAACCCTACTCTAGCACACTTCAGAATCATAAATGAAGTAACTGCACAAGCAGATATATTCGTCTGGAATTTAATTTGGTTTTTTTCGTCCACGGAGCTTTTGGACTAAATTAATTAATGGAGTTGGACGAAATTATTGACCAAAGAAATTTCTGCTTATACAGTATTCTCTATGATTGTGTGGACATTGATGTGACAGCCTCCTCCCCTCGCTTGTTGTCAGACAATCATTCAAAATTTAGTTTGGTTTCAATCACCGGGGGCAGTGGAACCGGTCTGGTTAGTCAGGTCATGACCAGATCAACTGTTTGGCCACCAGCGTGTGAGGGGATCATGTGTACCCGCCATTCCATGAACAAGTTGTAGAGGGCTATGGTGTGGCCGGGCCAATCAAAACCTTCTTCCGTCGGTCCTGAATTATACATGGATCAGAGATTAAAAAGAGTGAATGACATGTTACCTGTCCTAATCCACGAATGGAGTCATCCACAATCGCAACCGCCAGTGGACGAGTGGCTGCGGGTATGGAGGCAAAGCGGCCATTGTACACACCACCACCGGACTCCAATGTCAGAGAGACGTAGTCCTCTACGGTCTTGCCAAACCCATCTCCGACGACAACACTGGTGTTTCGCCGACCGTAGAAGGCTCGCTGAGAAGGCATGTACGCCACTAGGGTCTCCGCTCCATTTTGGTACACACCGAAGGCTGGTTGTGAGGATGAGCTGAACTGGTTCTGCACGAAGCTCTGGAGTACAATGTCTTCGAAGCGCAAGCGCTGCTGCAACAGGTCCTTGCTGCACTCGGCATCCAGGATGACTCGGTCGCGCAGTGACAGGTGTAGCATGAGCGTGTTGACACTGGAGCAACCTGTCCGCCTCGGCAAGCGGTCTAGACCATGCTTAATGGCCGCGTACCCATCGGACCGTCCCACGGAGATTGGTTCAGATGCGATGTTACCTAGCACATCCAAGAAGTTGGTCCAGTTCGACATGGCTGCACCTTGAAGGGACAGAATCAAGCGTCCTTTCTCATTCTCAGGAGATTTGTCACCGCCGTATGCCACCATTCCGTACAGATTTCCACACGACTGAGCGGTACCATAGCCGTTCTGAACCAGCTCCTGCTCAAGGTGTCCAATGAGATCGAAGAGCCAGCGACGAACGGCCAAGTTGATACTGCCCTCATCCAGCACAATCACTACATCCACTGCGTGGTCGGGGCACTCACATGGACAGGATTCTGAAGCAACAGAAGAACAAAGCAAGGGACACTTCAGTCATTTCATCCCGTTATGGCTACAGCCTAGGGCAAGTACTTCGAAATGCAGCTACAGTGCCGCTCAATGAAATCGGATCGAGTGATTCATGTACGCATTGGGCACTGTACAGTCTTAGACGTGTGAACACTGGACTGCGAAATGGTGCATAGCGTAAACTTGATTCACAAGATCAGATTTCATTGTGCAGCACTGTACACATACTGGAGGTGGACTTAGCAGCTTTGTCAAGCAACATCAGAATCTGGCTCTGTACGCTGATATAATTGGCAAATGATAATGTTCAGAGCTGCCTTGTTGCTGTTGTGTTTCTTTTCAATTTGCTCAAATTACAGGCAACAGTCCCTTCTCACTGGAGAAAGACTCTCTGGTTCCTACCAAGACAATGATTTTATGACAAAGATAATGTAAGACAATGACATAGTATAATGATAGCTGAAATGTTTAAGGAATTTCCCTTAAAGAAAACCCCAGAAAACTGAGCCTCTAAGGGCAGGGTGGGGGCAGGGTGGAAAAGCAGGGAATGCAGGAAAAGAGCAAGACACTTGTGTGAACGGTCAGGAAAATTCATTAGTGGAATTGGAGATACATATTTGCTATTGCTAGGCAAGCTTAGCCTACCCTATTCTCAGTGCATGGCTGATCAATACACACTATAGGAGGAGATAATGAATTTAAAATGTGACTGTATTCTGGCACAGCAGTACTAACAAAACATACTCACCACATTCACTTCCAGACTCGGGTCGTATGGTCAGCGGAGGGTTACACTTGCACAGTGGCAGACCGCCTTCATTGAGGCACAACTGATCACAGCCTCCATTACCTATCTGACAGGGGTTAGCCTGTATCCACACTGCCGGAGAATGAACACGGGAACAAAACACAACTATTCATTGTCGAACTCCGTTACCCACGCTTACCATGTTCTTCGGCAACTTCTCATGGGGAAAAAGAATCTCAAAAGATATACAGGAAGAAGCAATACAACAGCACGGAGGCGTGACAATGTTCCATGTCTATCCGTCCTTGATTCCTACACCAATCAACAACCCCCACTTGGAACACAGCGACCACACCAAATATGATTTTCATAGCTGCAATAATTATGAGAGTTAATGTAACATCTATCATATTCTGTTGGAGCAGACTCTGTATATAAAAAACCACATCTTTGTGGGCACTATAATTGTCTTTTAACATGAGGCAAAGTGTGAGGGATGTGGAATTTACAAGGACTACCACGTTTCCCTGGGCTTTAGAGCTCACCACATCGAGGAAGCCTGGGGGATGATTCAAAGCAGGAAACATTGCGCGCGCCCAACAGGCGATGGTTGAAATCGCAGTCATAGAGGATGAAGTTGTCTATGCGCCGCATCATGCCGCTTGGTGGGGAGCCATAGTTCTGCACTCTGCATGGCGGTGATACTGTGGGCTGAATGACCGCACCGCCAACTGTATAATGCATTCACACATTAGTAAGCAAGATGAACGCGAAGCGTATTGTTTGCTAGTGAAGAAAGTAAGATAATATCATAAAACGGAAGGTCAAAGTAATAAAGTAATGAACTAAGAAAAGCATTTGCATGTACATAATATGTTCATGAATGTACAAACACAAACACACTGCATTGGACAGATGAAGTTGATGTGGAGCTTCTGCGATTTGAATGCATCTTCGTCTCATCCCCTCTTGCTGTCTTTCTCATTCACACACACAGACACACACACACACACAGACACACACACACAGACAAACACACACACACACACACATCCACACACACACACTATCCTCACAGTGTAGACAAAATCACATGGCTATTCCTTGAGAAAGTACAGAACACTCTCGAACATCAACCACCACTCACCGCATAGCGGCACTGGCGTTGTCCATGTTCCATCTAAGCGGCACATACTACGCTCATTTCCGGATATCGTGAAACCATTGTTGCAAATGAAGAAAACTCCAGAACCTCCGCGTGACAGGTCGTTGCCTATCCGAAAGCCGTTCTCAGGAACTCCGGGGTCCTCACAGAAACCTAGCATGCGGTCACAAGGTACAAATACGTAACTGTAAGGTGAAGTGAAGCGTGTGTGGGCGCAGTGAGAGCTGCCTCCCACCAGCCTGTCTAGTTCAACAAAACGCGCGAGTTTTAAAGTCTGGGGAAAATGTTGAGCAGTCTCGGCCGGGATGACAACTACAGTCAACTTTGCATATAGCGACACTCGGCGGGGCATCAGAAAAGTGTCCTTATTCGCGAAGTGTTGTTATACCCGAAGTCTCATTATATCATGTATTCAGTTCGATGAGACTTTGCTCTGGGCATGGAAATGCTGTCGTTATTCGCGAATTATCGTTATATCCACAGTCGTTATTAGTGAAGTTGGCTGTACACCAAAGCTTTAGCAGTAGATCATCGCTAGACTATAGTGAAGGTCCCTAGGTTAAGTGCAGGTGGTGCTAGCCAATTTGTTTTCTTTAGACATTTCCCTTTTCCACACCCCTTAACTAAAGAAATATGCCCGAGTGTGTGGAAATAGCGCTGGACTTCTCTATTCTAAGATGAAATTCTCCACTCCTGTCCATGCGCATTGACATGCACCATCTATGGAAGGCATTCACTAGTGGCGTATTCAAAGCCGTCTATAACTTGTGAAGTGGATATGACTATAGGTGCTCTAGCATAGACTGTTTTAGCAGCTTGTTGGTACATGCGTTGCATGGTGTTTGCTCTACAAGCATGTGAGTGTAAGCCATCCTTTTTCAGGATATTTGGATTGGCGCACCTCACCACCTCACCGCAGTGTTGAACACTTGGATAAGTTGGCATTGAGGACTTCCCTTGTCCATCAAGTCCATGCTTTCAAGAATTTGTTTACAAGCCAGTTTTACCAGGAAAGTTTGCTGGATAGGCACTATGTGCAAGCTTGTCCTAGATTGCCAACTTACCGTCAGGCAGATTGTCTGCTGGTTCACCGCCATTGCCATCTTGTGCAAGCACAACACTGTCAGGACGCCATGCAGGTAGGAGAGAGGCAATGAGAAAGAGATAGAAATAGAGAGTGAGAAAGATAGATAGAAAGAGAGAGAGAAAGAAAGAGAAGGGAGAGAGAGAGAGAGAGAGAGAGAGAGAGAGAGAGAGAGAGAGAGAGAGAGAGAGAGAGAGAGAGAGAGAGAGAGAGAGAGGAGATGTCAGGCCGATACGCACATGGAAACAGAATATGGGCCTCAACCAGCGAAAACAGCCCTTAGGGTCAACATTTTCAAAATTCCTTTTTAGTTAGAAATTTGTTGGACCACATCTACTGAAGGACCTCAGCCAACAAAAAGTCCAATATTCCGATTCTAAACGGGTGTATACACCAATATACAATATGTACTCCAAATTGGTGCAATGTATGTATACGATGTATGTGTACAATGAATATTCATCATTCGAAGGTGGGTGGGCAGCTTGAATACCTTTGAAATAGTGAAGTAAGCAGCTATAATGGCAAAGAATAGCTAATGAGTGCAGAGAGATGATCGACATATTCGCAGCTTCATCCTGCGTGGAGTCGTTCCGCAATCTCGTCTTCCATTTCTTCCTCCGCAGCTGAAGACACGACGTCGCTGCCGTCACTAGCCCCAGACTCAGAATTTATCTCAGGTGACGACTCCTCATCTTCCGACTCTGACGAGTCATAGGCCACCTTGAGCCGCATCGCAGCAGGAGATGACGGCTGCGATCCGCCTCGCTGTCGACATCGATGTCGGAACCAAAGAACGTTTCATCCTCATTCTGAACTTCAGCGGCTACTTCAGCATCCACTCCCCACCAGGCTCGAGCTAGCTGTCCTCGAGCTAGCTGTAGACAATGACTGCCGTGTGTGCTCTGAGAACAGCTCTGGCGTCCGCAGCCATCGCAACAAGATCAAGGAACACTGGAGTCGCCACTCGACACCCCTTCATTCAACTTCAAAATAAATTGCTTCAAGCAAAGAGTTCAAGAAGTCGTCACGCTGTTTGCAGCGCGATCAAAAAATCGTTGAACGTCACAAATCGACCTTTTTCTCGAAAAAATTACGAAATCTCTAAGGGTCGTTTTCGCTGATTGCGGCTCATAATATATTGTTTACAGCATTTACCTCAACTCGTTATCATATAGGGGAATAGCAGGGGAGTCGGACACGGTACGATCACTGCGGTATTGACCATACCACTATTTGCCCCAAGTTCCCCGTGATTCAATAAAATGCACTGATTTGGGCTCTAAATTTCCAAAATGTTCGGCTCAGCCACGCCTTCCCACGAGTAAATTGTACTTGAGATGGCTGACCGTACCACACGCCCCTGAATAGAGAGTGAGAGAAAGAGAGAGCACGCGTGTGTATGCGTGTGTATGGTCACTGGGATGTGGTGTTGTTCTTGTGGTGTGCGTGTGTGTGTGTGTCCACTCTGATTTAGTCACCCACAATAGTAGCAAGTATTACCTTCACTAGGGGCAGGGGTAACTGCAGTTGGATCCCGGGACGGATACCCTGATGCCGTCAATCCTTTTTCTGCACCTTGTCCTCACCCACTTACTGAGGTGTGGTGAGCCCATAAGCGGGATCATTTTCAAGTCCACCAAGAGTTTTGGGGATTTCACGGGGTGTCGGCCGTTGGGCGGTTCAAAAGCCAATTGAGTCATCATTCCAAGATTCCTTTTGAGTCTCTCTCCCCTCTCCCGGGGAGACCCACATGACCAGTTTTGGCAGTGAGCAACAAGTACAAGTGTCTTGATCTGTTTCAATCAGAATCAGATCCGCTATCGTTGCTATAAAGAGAAAATCTGTGGGTGCACATCCAGTGCATTTGCAGATTTGCGTGCTTCTCTTGCGACAGGCGTATACATGGTACATGGTGTGTGTGTGTGTGTGGTGTGTCCCATATGGTGCAGTGGTATGTGCAGCGATTTCCAATCGATAGGTTGCGGGTTCGATTCCCGACGATTATGGTCACACACGCCTTTCTTCTTTTTCTCAGACTCTTCCTGACTTTTCTTTCATTCTCCTGGGTGGTTACCAACAGCCAGTGCATGCCAGAGTATGTGGTGTGATGTGTGTGCGGGAAAAAAAGAAAAGAGAAAAATCCCAAAAATAGGGATTCACTGGCCAGAAAAAGTCACTCCAAATAGCTGTATGGTGTAGACCAGGCTGAATAGTGACGGTCAATTCTTCAGCCTTGCAAGCTGTTGAATGGTGCAATCCCAGCACAAGTTGCTATGGCTTCTGCCGTAGCATTGCTATCATCGCCTCCGGCGATGGGCGTCAAAGGTCAAAGGTGTGAGTGTGTGTGTGGTAAAGCACGAGAGGGCGAGAGAGAATACCCATACCCACATACTCATCACAAAGGTGGACACTTGTCTATTGGTGATGAGCAGGAATATTAGACTTTGCGATGTTATGATAATGCCCTGCCTCCAACCAAATATGTAATACTCAATGAATCAACCTGTTTCTTTATCACTTGGATCAGAGATGCATTAGCTCACTTTTCTTCAAGTAAGCTCTGAAGCAGATCAGAATTCCATTATCGGTTTTGGTGAATGAATGGAAAACTGACCACTTAGAAGAGAGCGATATCCCAGTCTTGGACTGAGACAGACGGTTCATGTTAAATCTAGACTATCCACAAACAAATTGAAGGGCTGAGATAACAGCAAACATATTTTACCTGGTCAACGCTAACGAAACGAGCAGCACTTCATACAGATTTCCCATATCGTGTCACAACTCCACCCAGAACGAAGCACTGGACAAGCACACCAGTTTAGGCCGCTCCTCAACGAAACCGTAACGCTCCTCAGGAAGGAAAACCAAGTACAGCAGTCATAGGCAACAGAACGCTAGGAAGCGGTTCTGTCCAGGGATGCACACAGAGTTTCGTGGTGTCGCCGACCTCCACACTAACTTTCCCTTTTCTTTCCAAACAGTTCGTCCTCAAGCGCAGACACCTCGTCCGCCGCGCTGGCTTCACTAAATCTGCTAATGAAGCCATGAAGTGGCTTCTGGCAGACGTGGATAATGGCCAGGTCAATAAATTGACTGCTGTGGCAGCTATCGCTCCTTCTGAAGGGCACCGCAGATCCCATGGACTTGTCACTCTCGACAGATAAAATCGGTGGGAAACACTCCACACTCAGCTCCCTGAGGAGATCTTACTGTGAACGTCTCATCATTTTATGGACAATCATGGTTCTCCTTTCATCACGCCCTGCGCTAGAATTGACCGTTTCGCTCTGGGCATTTTTGAAACATTTCTCACGTAACTCGTTGTATCGCGCGGTCTACCGTACACACATCCGAAAGTGGCGAAATGTCACAAGTAGAGCGCAACGTGTCGATTGCATAATTAATTGTAGCGTAAAGATTGTTCAGCACGGATACTCTTGAATTCAGTCACGAAATTCCACTGATGAATGTGACAGGAAAGTCGATTTTGGAAAACTTCAGGGCTAGTACTTGCACAGAAACACGTGGGCGCCATCTTGTTTCACGTGACATGTGTCACACCATGCTGTGTACAGGGAATCTTGCCGTACTTCGCGTCGACTCTGGCCTGTTCAAATCCACGCAAGTGAGCCACAGTTCTCTCTAGCAGGCTGAGATTTTGCAGGCACCGAGTTCAGATGTGGGCAAAGGGATTCACCGAAGGATTTTTTGATTTTCGCAATTTAGACGTCAAATAACACCCTCAAACTCGGTAAACGTGTCCCACCTCTAGGATCGTTTTGGCGAAATTCGCTTCGGTGAAAGTATGGAGCATCTCCTACTGAAAATTTTGAGCCATCGATTGTCAAAATCGGCTCATGTGGAGCTCACTTGTGTCGTTTTGAAGGACGCCGCGCCACGCGCGACTTGCGCTGGTTCTTTCACAAACGGAAGACACCTTCCAGTCAGAACTGCAGACTGTGACAGTGCAGTGCGCACGGCAAGGAAAAGAAGGAGACGTGCATTTTCCATTTGTTGCACTGTGTCCTTTGCTTTTATTGTTCACTGATAACATGTTCACAAAATCTTGAGCTAGAGAGAAGACTGACTTACAATCTGATTCATCTAGGCTTCAGCGTGATGCACGTATCCAGACCATAGGAAATATTGGGAAAGGAACCGGGAACCACGAGAACAATTTTTCTGGAGCGAATCCAATTATTACCATGGTTCCTTGTTCTTGAACACCGCGCTCCACATCGTCAATGTTCTGCGAGGTAAGGATTTCAGGACTACTGTCGGTTTGTTCGACCTCGGGGCGATATCTACGTCCAGCTGGCCATGATACTGAGCCGAACTGGCCACTAGTTCGCTTCTTTCTCGACTCGGGATAATCAAGCCGGTCAGAGTGCGAATTCCTACCCTGGATGCGATCCATGGTGCGGACTGAAAATAACTACTGAACACCTCCTTGTACAAGCACTGACATACAAGACCGGTGGTGGATACAAACTGACAACAGGAAACCCTAACAGCACCCGCTCTGTCAAAGAAAGTCGAAATGAAGCAGTTCGAACCAGTTCAAGCACCACCAAAAAATAAAAACTATGATAAAAACTAGCACTTGCTCTTGCAGCTAGGTCAAAGACTGCACTGGCAAGTACACTTTTGCGCAGTCGTGATCTCGCGGCCCCGCACCACGTGCGGGTATCTGATGACGTAGCGTGATTCAAGATGGCCTCTGACGTGTTCCCGTTTTGTGATCCCAAATACCAGCCCTGAACTTTCATGACTTCGTTGTAGTGTGGCGATGACAGCAGAATTTGTTCTCTTTATTGCTATTCCTAGATTGTTTGTGTAGTTTTAGGCTGTTCCTACATTTTTTGTAGTGTTTTTCTCCTGGCCCACAATCATGCACACCGCCGGGTAGACACCACTCACCAGGAACTCCATGCTGCTTGGGACGTCTTACCTGTGCTGTTTATCATGATTGTTTATTTTCAGTCTTCGGCTCTGACCTTTCGCATTCGCATCTGTACATATTTTTCATAGTTCATGGGGTTAGCTATGAGTCCACCAGAAGATTGAAGGTACAGTCATTACCTTTCATGGTCAGTACTCGGATTCATCTCTCCCTTAGTATTGACTCCCATAGATTTTTGCTATACCTAAGCAGTCAAAATTCCGTTAATCGTTTTTCTTTCTAATTTTCCATTCATTTTCTGCTTTAATTCATATTTGCTTTGTTTTCCTAGCTTACTATTGCCGTGGCTGGCTCAACGCCCTTGTCTCAGGGGATTCTGTCCCTGCATTAGCTATGCTTGTCACATGCTATGAGATTGTGTCTAATAATAATAATAATAATAATAATAATTTTACAAGAAGTCGGAGGCGGATAATACTTTAATAACGAAGGTACGTGTTGGGTCGTAAGTATCCACGCAAACACACATCCAGTCAAAAATAAGGCACTTGTCAAAGTATCCGAACGTTTTCGGTCCCTTCTCATCAAGGATTATACAGGGAATGGCTCAAGTTGGAAAGACTAAAACTTATATAGCGTAAAGATATGAGATAACAACACTCGTGACAAGGTGGAAAAAGTATCAAGTTCAGCACGACACAAAACTCGAAGGAAATAATAATAGCGACAAGAACATAGTGAGCAAATTAAGTTACATTGTTAACACCTCGACGAGGAGTAACACCAAACAATTGTAGCGACAACACATTTTCTTTCTGTACGCAAAGTTCAGGATCTAACTTACGGATATACAAAGCTTCTAACACAGCCAGATGCAACGCACATCTACCACGTGACAATATTGAGAACACATTATCACTGTACAACTCACGACAATTGGTACGGGCTGACAGATGTTGCTTGATGGACGAAGTGCGATTCTTAGCTCCGTTGGGTGTAGTCTCCTCCAATGTCCCGTCGAAGGGACCGAAAACGTTCAGATACTTTGACAAGTGCCTTATTTTTGACTGGATGTGTGTTTGCGTGGATACTTACGACCCAACACGTACCTTCGTTATTAAAATAATAATAATAATAATAATAATAAATAATATTCCTGCATATTTCACTCCTTTAGGGCTATACTGACTGCGTATATTTGACTCTTTAGCGATTGAACACAATGCTTCGGCTGGTCGTGATAAATCTAATATTGACTTCGTACTAGGTCAATGTAGGAAATAGAAACCTCGTAAAAAGGTGTACTACAATACGTGATTGTGAAATCCAGTGGACTGTTATGTTTCAGATTCTGCAATGGAGATCGGTCAATTATAAAAAATGTTACTTAGAAATAATAATAATAATAAATAATATTCCTGCATATTTCACTCAATGACACTCTGTATAAGCGCTGCGGAGCTGTCCCCATCAGCGAGATGATCACAAGGCAGCGCTACAGTCTCGCTGGCCATATCTTTCGTTTGGCCCCAACTGCTCCTCCACAGTTGGCAGTGGATATGTATCTTCGCCTGGCCAACGACGAGAGCACTGAACGCTTCAGGGGTCGACCTCGGACGACTTTGGTAACGGTCTTGCAGACGGAACTGTTATCATGGCATGGACTTACCCTCCACCAGCCGCTAGATGTTGACGCAGTCCGCACAATGGCAGCGGACCGACAGGCATGGCGTGGAGCCCGCCCCACCTAACAGGACTGACCAGACATGTTGTATGCATATTCTATTTTATTTTATACTTTGGATGAAGTTTTCCATTAGTCATATTGGTGTTGTTGCTAACGGCTTTTGTTGACGTCACTTCTGTCATTTTATTGTATCGTATTACTCTTCAGACATCAATCCTGAATGGCATAAGCGAAAGTGGCACCCCCGCCACCTACGCGGACATGCTTTTAATAATAATAATAATAATAATTTTATTAGTGCAATTAGGAGTATAATCGATGCAGACATGGCCAAAACAACAACGAGTTCATGGAATTTTTTAAGGATTTTTATGTTATTCAAAATCGATTTTCGTGTTCCGCTCATCAGTGAATAGTATCGGAACTGAGGGTACTGTGTACAAAAATAGAACATTTTATATAAAATGTTCTATTTTTGTACACAGTACCCTCAGTTCCGATACTATTCACTGATGAGCGGAACACGAAAATCGATTTTGAATAACATAAAAATCCTTAAAAAATTCCATGAACTCGTTGTTGTTTTGGCCATGTCTGCATCGATTATACTCCTAATTGCACTAATAAAATTGCTTTCTCCACGCCGACTCTTTAAATAATAATAATAATAATACTTAGAAATCAAACCTCTGTGGAAGATAGTAGACTAAGTAGTGGTTCCCATTAGAAACGAATATCATCCGTCCACATCACCAACGAATCAAGACTGATTTTCTATTCCTGTTGACCATGGTTGACTGTGGTTGGTTGACCCCTGTGACAGGTTCAGAATGGACATGGCAAAGAATCACGTGCGAAGACACTAGACAGGTGCCAATGATGGCCCAAGGGTTTGATCATCATTCTGGACCGTTGGAGTGTAAATCATAATGTCAATGGTCTCACTCTCATTCCTCACCGGGCACTCAGCCTTGTCCTAGCTCATCACAAGAATGCAAAAACTTGAAAATTCAAGAAAGCCGCAGGCTGAAGTAGAGGATCCCGAGATTCAATCGGCGGTCACTGCATGCCAGCCCTGTTCATCCAGGAACAATAGAGCTTTGCCTCAACATTATTGTTTTTTTTTTTATATTATCTTCAAACTCCGGACAGCTACCTGTTTCGACCCTGAGGCTGTCAGGTCTCCTCAGCTGAGCTCAGAGTCACTGGCCGACCTGATCGTGATGAAGTACAGTGAACAACAAACTGCATTTTTAAACCGGCTCAAAGCATCAAATTCAGGTTTCTATAACACTGTTTAGCTGAGCAGATCATCAATTGAGGGCGTTGATAAGTTTGATAAAGGAAATAAGGGGAAAGTGTCAATTAAAGAACCACTAAATAGGAAAAAATGGTTGCAAAATCGCACTTGGGGGCACCTTACAGTGCTTCCAAATCAGTCAAATGTAACACAGATCTGCCGCGAACTAAAACTA